TGTCTTCGCTCGAATCAAAGAATTTAAAGCTTAGTACTTAGGATGGATCTTTGACGCGAAGGGGCAGATTCTTTGATTTCAATTAAATTACTCCTTACTCACATGAATTCGGAATTTCACAATGCATTGTAGAAACCCTCCTGTTTGGTTCACATTGCAATGTGAACCAAACAGGAGGGTTTCTTCAAAGCAACTGTAACGCATTGGCCAAGTTTCGCCAAAAACCCGTCCTGGGTACTAAATAGGTTTAAGCTCTAACTAAATTCCGTTCAATTAACCAGAAATCATCTGCTAGCCCATGCAAATTGGGCGTCTAAAATCTGAAGTTTTTTAAACACCGGTTTTCCGATTGTTCGAATTTTTCATATTGGGGTAAAACCGGTTTTCCATTAATTCAAGTTTGGGAAATCGTGGGAAACCGGTGTTCGATTCTTTGCGCAAACCGGCTTAAAACCGATTTTAAAAATCGGTTTTATTGCAAATTGTACAAAGTTGACAAATATAATAATCAAAGAATGAAAAATAAAAATAAAATGTAACCTTAATACGGGATAACAGCACTACTAATTCTGATCTCAACAATTCGAAACAGAAAAGATTAGCTCTTAAAAAAGTTTATTTTATTAAACACCGAAAGCCGTTGTTGGAGTTTATAAAAACCAGTTTTTCTGAAAATTGTGAAACCGGTTTTTCACAAAACCGGTTGTTGGAAAATTGTAAAACCAGTTTTCAGTTAAATTGAAAACCGATTTTTAACATCTTCTAATGGAAAAACCAATTTTGGATTCCCTAGTTACATACAAACCCCTCGAGACTCATTTGATAATCACGGAGTTCAATCTAGGGCTGCCAAATCCGGATACTTGGATTTTAAAAAATCCGGATTTTTCGGATTTAGAATTTTCCGAAATCCAGATTTCACTTTGAAATGAATCCGGATTTCTTTAATTTAGAAACTTATTTTCCCGTGCTCTTCAAAGATACAAGTTGCTGGGAAAAGTGTAAAAAAAAGTTTGTTCATGTTATTCATCCCAGGTAGTTATTTGAACATATTCGACATCAAACTCACCATTTTCGAAATTTGACATTTTTTTAGTCCATCAACTTAAAAATCTCATTTCTTCAAATCAAATTTTACATGAGATTATGAATTCTTGAAGGTACGTCTGAAATTGTAATCCTATATTTTGTATGACACATATCAAAGTTGTCATTAGCTAAAGGTCTATGCCATAAGAACAGATTTGGGTTTAAAATTGTTAAATTGTTGATAAGGAACATCCGGCCTCGCAAATGAAACACATCTGCCATACACTTTTCGACACTTAATATGCGTTTATCTTGTGGCGTGTGATAGGACAATTATATCTAGTGTATAGGGGGTGCCGGTACGGCCCTTCGGGCCGTACGGCCTGGAGCCAGCGCTCCACCTAGAAGCATCGTCGGTACGGGCCTGGCCAAAGTAAAGCATTTCTTGCACTCATATTTAATTTGTTCGTATGCCTTAAAGATAATTAAATATATGTATAACTACATTTTCTTAATACAGAATGGCTTGCCGAAACGTGGCCCGGCCTTGAAAATAATAATTAAAGTTTGTTCGACAAACTTTGATCAAATCTAATTTTGTTAATGCTTTTGCGTTAGGTCTTGGACTGGTTTATCGGAACCACACGAGGATATTGATTGTACGCTGCCACGAAGCCAATAAATATGATTGGCTATTGCTTCAACATTAGGACGACACTCTACGTCGCCGCTAGATTGGATGAACTGAACCTCTAATCTGAATACTTTTGCTCACTGCATTATGTATTTTGATGGGGATATGTAGAAATATCATGTAGTTATAACTAAAAGTGTGCTGATTAAATTATTTTGGTTATTCGTTTCAGATGGGACGCATATATAATACTTATAATACAATTTATGAACAGTATAGGCCATGAAGATATTAACATGCAGTTGAATAATTTACTGAACAACCGTTACTTCTAATCAAAATTTGCTGAAAGCAAACGCGAACCCTCGTCATTTTAGTTTCAAATTTAACTTCGGATCAAAATGTATTCCACTTATTTCCTTCCATTTCTTGTCCGACATATTAAAATCGGTCAGAAACTTAAATCCATTCCGTATGAATTTAGCCAAAAATCTGGAAAGCTAGTGATAACTAAGGACCGGACTAGAGTCTGGATATATCGTGTGCAAATTGTCCTCCACCTGATTTACTGCATCGCCATGCTGGGTCACCTCTGTTTTGGCACATTAACGGCTACGAAAAAATTTCAGGGTTTCGTATTTTTTTGCATGTATACGGTCATGCTGTGTGGTCGGTGGAACTATGACCTGAATGTAGCATCGATACAGATAATCAATTCCGCAATGGATTATGAGAAAAAGTTGGTTACAGGTAAATAGGACAAGCATATATAGGGATGTATACTGTAAATTGCACGCATAAGATGTGAGCATAACATCAAGCATTAACGTGATAAAAAACGGATACGAATCATAGAATTCATTGGGTCTGGGACTATAAACTATCCAAACGGTGTTGTCCCTTCACATTTGTGTCAAAAAATTGGAAGTTAAATTTTTTGCCAGCTAAACAAAGGCATGCATTGTTCTTTGAAAAGCAATACTGCTCGTGAAACCGAAATACGACCAAAATCACAGCGATAACGCAATCGGCTATTAAAGCAATGTTCGAAATGTTTTTGTTTTAAATTGAATTCATGGTTTCGATATTAAGTTCCCTAATGTTCATGCCCATATGTATGTTCAAAATGATGTCAGTTGTAGATAGGGGACCCTGTATATATATATATTATTACTTAGGAAAGTCAGATCTGAGTGTCAATCTGGAAACAAAATTGATGATGCACTTCCTCCATTTAACGTTCTACAGCATTTTCGCAGTACCAATTGCCAAACTAGGACTAATCTTGCTTGACCCGTGCTCCCCGCCGTTTCTTCTCTCGATGAGAGGGGACTGTTCGTCCATAGATTGGACGAAGTCTTTCGGGTATCAAAATCTAATTCTAATCTTCGATGTTTTGATGGATATTCATGTATTCGTTGGCGGGTCATTGGAAATAGTCTACAACTTTTTCACTGGAATTGTATGCTTGCTGAACTACTTTGCAGTGTTGAGGCGGTGAGTGCTTTGAATACATATGTATATCCGCATAAGTCAGGGTCAAATCCTGATTAAGTTGTGTGGATGTGGTTTAAACAATGACCAACAAATCTGGGGCTGCATGCGTCCCGAAAACTTGCAATAAAATGTGACCCTAGTTTCAACGCACCGATTCTAACTTGGTTCTGTAAATTTTTCTTAAGGAAAATACATTTTACGCTTTCAGGGAACTTAGAGTAGCTGAAAGACCCGCCGATTTTAAAGCGTGTACCGGTATCTACCGAAGTATTCAAATCCTCGAAATACTGTTCAACGGATTTCTGATGATTTCCATAGTCCCATCATTCATAATTCTCACACCAGCATTGCAGGTCCTTCTTCAATATGTCTGCATCACGAGGCACCAAAGTATTCCGATGCCCGTCTTTTTCATCTTCCCCCTAGTATGGACGAACGTCATTGGGAATAACATCCTGGTTTTCACTCTTGCCTCCTGGGTGAATAACGTATCGATCAAAATTTTGAAGAAAAACGAGAAGGCTATGGTCCACAAGGCATGTTCGAGAAGGCGATCTGCCCTGATGAAAGAAGTCAAGGCCAGCACCGTCCTAAAGATCAAGTTCGGTTCCAACTTCATTGACAGCAGAAAGCCGTTGGTAATTCAAAACTTCAGTTTCAGTCAAACGATGTCACTGATACTAATCAGTTCCTCGAAGAAGGGCCACTAATTGGATGGAGTACTCGAATTAGAAAATTTCGTAGTGTTTGGGTTTCAAATGTAATATTCATAAGAAGGGCATAATAATATATAAATCGTTTCAACATTGAAGCGATTTATTGTGCGTGAATTGTGGGGAGACATGAAGGGGCTTCTATGTCGTCGTCGTCGTCATCGTCGCCGTCTCATCCTTCTCCTTGTATTCTTATGGTCTACTTCTTCCTTTTACCATCATTATGCAGATAGATCCAACAAAAGGCTCAGGTTCAGAGTTCACCACACCGGCAACCAACCAGCCAACCATGGCTACCGACACCAAGCAACACTTGCGAGTTTCTAGTGTTTCTTCTTCGCTCTTCTCGCTCTCTCTCTCTCGCTCGCTCTGTTTCTATCTTGTTATGTTTAATAACATGGTTATTAAATCATATTTCGTCGGATTTACCAACTTACTATTATAATAATTCTAAAAAAGACTCGTTTGGCATGATTTTGATTAGATAATTAAGTATAATAGCAACAAATCAAATTCTCGTGATTTATTTACAAGACGGAGGACTTTTTATTTCAGCCATTTTCCAATTTTTACGTTTTTTTTACTTTGTACATACTTATATGCATTAAAAATCAACATTTTAATATTCATCAAATTCAAAAATTGAGTTCTAGACGACGTTTTTAACGATCATTACAATGATTACATAAATATGTAGTTGTGTCCTTATTAATTACCCACTATCTTATTGAATCTTTAATTAATTAACTATGTATTTAACCTTAAATACCATGGGATTCTCGCTCCTTGTCTGTGGCGGTGAACTCACTGGTGAAACGGAATTTAGTGCAAGTTATTACTGTACCGATGAAATCATGCACTCCGGTCGGTGATGATTCAATACCATTTTTCTAAGAGGGAATATTTATTTTAATCAAACTAAACATTTCCTGCTTACAATGGAAATCCCCCAGTGTGTGTGACCAACTTTTGATGACATTGGTGCAAATCGATCATGAACTTAGGTAATATGAAATTTACAAAATGCATAGTCTCCCAATGCTTATATTTGGTGGAGATATTTGAAATCGAAGAGGAAAAGGTGCTCAGAAAAATTCGCAAATGACTGCAGATATTTTAGATTTTAGTAGAATTCTTCAAAGACGACAACGCTTTTATCGCAATTTTTAATAAACTCTGGTATTTACATATGTAAATATCCACTAAATATATTTGCATGATATTTCAATATTAAATAGTTTAGGTATCTATATACTAGTGTTGTGCACATATTTTATTCACTCTGTAAAATTAACCAACCCAGATATGTACATAAGTGTTAATAAAACAAGCTGTCATGTCATCATATATTCAAGCATTTTCCCGGATTTTAAACAAATCCCGCAAAACTTCACAGTCTTTCGATGCAGCTAAAGAATTCCAGTCAAAGTCCAAATTACTAAATTCTTCACAGCTCATCCTTCTCTGACAATCCTCTTCCAACATTTTTCTTATCGCAGTAGCAAATAATGCACAATCGACACTGTCTGATTTAACACTGGCTAATTTATCAGGTAAACTATTGCTGAATCTTGTAGCCCTAACGCGAATGGGAAGGCGAGTAATGCTCGTGGTTAGTATTTCAAGGGCAAGTAGTCCAACCGAGAATATTTCGGATTGCAAAGGGTCTCCTCTTTCTGCTCCTTCAGCTTTTCGAAGTACCTCTGGCGCCTTATATTTCAAATTACCTCTGTCACCTGACACCGCTTTTGTATCATCAATGTTCCCCATAAACTTTGAAAGGCCAAAATCTGCAATTTTTACTGAAAACTTGTCCTCTTCTCCTGGTTTTCTTTTGATCAAAATATTGTCGGGCTTGAGGTCGTAATGCATTATTTTGTGGAGTTGGAGATACTTCATCCCCCTGATAAGCCCTCGGATGATTTTCAATTGGTCCCTGATTAGAGGAGTTGCCGAGGAATTTGAATCCATCCAGTTTTTTAGGGTGAAATCACAATATTCCATTTCAATAAAATATCCAGTCACAAAAGATTCGTTTCTTGCTCGCATCAGTAATTTCTTAAGTGGAATTTCCTCGTCAGATTGGCAGGATGAAAACGCGGAAGTAGGATTTCCTTCCGGGATTGGTTCACCGTATTTAAATATGCCCTGGACACAAATTAATTAATTTATATTAGTTAATTAATTTATAAAATAGCTCAAATTTTTACATCTTAAAAAAATGGTATTGCCGGCTTTGAAATTTTAGCAAATAAGGAGACACATCGTCGATGCAGCTGTAGTTTATCGCGACATACTCTTAAATGAAGCAGATCACCCAATCCTTGCAAAGTTCCCTGGTAAGAGGAATTTACCTAACTGTTACGGTAACGGTAAAATCCGCATATTTAGTAAAATATTTATAAAATAAGGGGACACACTTGATGTGAGTGAATTTAAGTATGTACCTACCTAATTCTAAAATGCCAAATTTCTAAAATTGTGTACAAGTTTACAGAACTTAAGGATTTTGCACCGTTACTAGGGACTGCGTGCATTACCTCATGATGCTTATAAGTAGAATTATAAACTACCGATAAATTTAACTCCTTTTTATTATGCTTGTTTACGTGACCTGTACTATTATTTGCCAGTTTCATATATAAAGTTTAAAAATAATTCTGCAAGTTTCATCTTACCCGTAGCTCCTCCTCGGTAAATTTTCTTTGTATCCACTCAATAAAGAAGACAATGTTAGGATGGCGCAGATCCGACAAGTTTCCGATCTCCCCTCTGGTGTATTCTTCATCCTTCTTGGTTCTGGGGATAATCAACTTGACAGCCGTGTTCAATTTGTAGCCGGGCTCTTTTTGCTTGAATACATAACCAAATGCGCCCTGCCCAACGGGTTCAACCGGCTGGAGGCCGGCAACGCTTTCCATCTCAATGCAGTGATAAAGACGCTGTTTAAATTTCGTTATCTCTGGAGATTGGTGCAGACGGAATAGGAACCGGTAGAGGGTGTGGTACACGGGAACCCTGAAATAACATTTGGTTAGTAAAATATGTTATCTTCAGTGTAGGAACCAATACGTGGGGGAAATATGTCACAATCGCAATTTTCCGTGATTGGTAGGTCACCAATGTGAGGGTGACACAAGTTGCCGCAAACTCAAAATAAATAAGAAAAAGTTAACGGTTTGTTGCAAGATTTTTGATAAAGAAGGTTGATTTAATTAGTCCGAGTTTTCCTGGCAAAATTAGAAAACCTTAACCTCAAAAATGATGAAAGTTCGAAGTAGAGTAGAGGTAAATGTTTGCCGACTTCCAAAAAAATAATCGGGACGAATTAAATCAACACCCTTTACAAAACAAAACAGTTTTCATGAAAATTGTAAAATTCATCCTCACTTACCGATTTTGGATTAAGTAGTTCAACAATGTCTCTAAATCGTTTAGCTGTTCGGGAGGAAGCAACCCTTCATAATATTCTTTATCATCCCTTCCTTGACTGGAAGCTAGTACCGCCTCCATAAATTTTGCACCGTTGAAGACCTCCTTAAACAATTTCACCGTCTCCTCCATCACTACCGGAATCACCCTTTCAGCCACAGTAAAGTCCCCAAAACGAAACAGAAGAGAGATTTCTTGTCTTGATAAATCATTATTAGCCCTAAATTCAAACTGCTTCGTTTCTTCGTTCCACCAAATAGTTTGAAATTGTTCAACGGTCATTTCATCTAATTCAGGATTTGTTTCTAGCATCATTTCCACGAGATGGGGAACATTGTAAAAGTTCCCATAGGGATTAATCCTGGTGTCTCTTCTCCAATTTATAATTTCTTTTATGATTTTCCCAATGGTGTAAATGTTTGATCGGATATTTGGCTGGAAAATTTCTTTGCGTAATATCCTTGAGTCTTTGTAGTAGTCGTTCACCTCTCTTTGGTTTAAAATCGAGTATTCCCGGATATTCAGGAGGAATCCATCTGCACGATTCTGAGAGAAGTATATATTTTCAAGGGACAGACTTCGGTGACCGTTATACCTTTTAAAGAACCTTTGGGCAGCCTCAAATATTCCATGGATAACTTCCATTTTTGACGAACCATTTAGGTCACAATTCATCCAACTTTTTAACGATCGACCGTCCCGTCTTTGCTGTATCTTCCAGATTTCTGCTCTATACCCCTGTTTCCCCGCATTTAAAATAAGTTCCCGTATTTCCTTTTCCCCACCTATCTGGTATTTCCCGGGGAGGATAGGGCCTTCTTGGGCAAACCTGACAATCTCTTCGTGGTGAAGCACGGTTACAGTTATGTGGTCGTAAAAATGGTTTTCCTGCTCAAAATCTGAATCTTGCCGAATAACTCCAAACCGGCAAGTGGCCTTGGTCGGATGGGGAAATAAGAGTTTGAGAACTGATCCGTGTCTTTGATCTGTTCTAGTTTGAAACACAAGGGAGTTTCGAGCCTGGCCTAGGTATTCCAAATTATGTAGTAAGAATTCCTGCTCCCAAGCAGCTTCAGTTTTTTCTTGCAGAAGAGACAGAAATGAGGCGGGAAAGTGGCACGTGTTTTCCTTTGAAATAATGTCCGATATGTCAGCAGGCCTGTACAAATTAAGAAAGTGGGTAATTAAATATTGAGTAACAATCATTTTGTTTATACAAGGAATATTTGCAGGCAAATTGTCTCCCACGGAGGCACAATTTTTGATACATTTTTTCACCAATTTTTTACGACAGAGCAAAATATATATAATTTTTTTAAACAATCTCGTGAAGTGTCCTTCGTTCATTAGCTTATGGCTTATTTTACATTGTTGAGAAAATGTCTCCTTAATGATAATCAAAAATTAGTGCCTCCGTGGGTGACAATTGGTCTCCAAAGTATTTACAGAGCACCTTCTCTCCAGAAGAAAGTTTATCCACTCCTCCACTTTTGGTAATTTTTCCTCATTGCTAGTTTCTTCCATCACTTGGAAATTCTCCTTCTCCAATACTTCGATTAACCCGGTACGCACCTGATCATCCTTAAACACCTTCGTGGCAACGGAAGGTACGCACAGTCCTGTCCAAGGGTTTAATTTGACTAATCTTGTATCAAATACGTATCGATAATTGTGCTGAAAGTCGTCAAACAATTCATCCCAATCGACTTCTTTGATTTGTCGTAGAGCCACTTTTGGATTGTTTAGCATATTTCCAACTAATCTCCTCAAAGTCAATGAGTACTGTAGGATCGGAGATAATTTAAGGAGACAGTGTGATTCTTGAAGTATGTCCTCTTTAATCTGTATCAAATTTGTCTCTTGGGTTTCTTCAGCAGAAAATAAGTGAATGTAAAGCCCTCCTAAGTCTTGGATACATTTTTCCAGTTGGTGACTTCTCCTTTCTTCCATCACGTCTAGTTTAGGATGACCATTATTTGTGGAATCTGCAAAATATTACAAGTATTCTATTGGTAAATATCCGTGTTTAAAAATACTTTTCTTCACGCAAAATGCATTAAGTTTGCAAATTAGGAAATTATTCGTTCGTTATTCATCGATTCAAAATTATAGAACAAGTATCTACTCATTATTAATTTTTCATTAGTTTCATCGCTAATTCTCTTTATTAATTTGATTTCTCAATATACCTAATATACTTAAAATATGGTGAAAAACGTGTAACGAATATGTAGATGTATTTATTCCTTCTTCATAAATATGAAGCAAGTAAATATTTACGCCAAATTTATTCACTGAATAACTCTGAAAAAAATATTCATTTGTTACTCAAACAAGTCGACTCGGCATTAACAAAATTCTGAGTGGTTAACAAAACCTAGCATCAATTCTATATGTAAATTGGCCACATTGCATATAAGGAATCTGTTGTAATCTGTCAAATCTGTTCTGTTGTTGTAATCTGTTCAACAGAAACGCTTTAGTTATTTTCGAATTCCAATTCCGTTCAAATTTTGCAGTAAATGTGCTGTAACCGCGTTCTCCAAATTCAAGGTGGTGGCTAAATACAATCACAAACGCCAAAGAATAGTTTACAGAATTTCAAATTATTAACATCATTCTCGGTCGTTTAAATAATTTGGAATGAGCAACTACCGAGTCCGTTTTATCATTTACCTTATGAGTTAACTTAAAATGCTAACCAAAACCACATTATTCGATCGTGGATTGCTAATAGCGAAAATGCAATTATTTTGCAATATTCAAAAAATTAGAAAAGTGGGGTCAGAAATCAAGGCAGCGGCCAAATTCTAGTCCAAAATAATTTTTAAAATTATTTCCAGTCATTTTCAATCAAGTTTTCAGTCAAAACTTGAATATCTCAAAATTTGCAAAAAATTCGCAGATTTTGGCATTTATCTCGAAAACTGGCTAAGCGCGCCCCCAATTTTATTACGAATTATTGATCTACTCATTATTACGCAAATTTTAAGCCATCAAACTCGAAAATCGTAGGAAGCTGAAAAAACACGATCTCATTGTATATATCTATCTTAACTATCTTAAAAATAAAGAATGAATAATTTATTCATTCTTCACTGAACAAGTGAATGTGAACACATACATATGTTTGATAAATAGGAAAAACGGAGAATTGTGTTTAAAATTACTTCGATTTTTTCACTTACCGTTACTACCTGAAGATTTTGGTAGCACAAATGCAAGCACTGGTGGATTGTATCTCTCTTTATAGCAATACACGTTGAATTGGTCCGCAGTTAAGTTTTCAAAGTATTTCCCATCCTCCAAAAGTTGAAGGAAATCACACGTAATCGATTGGGCAATGTGGACTTGCTCAATCAGCCTCGCTTGACAAATTAGCCTTCTTCGGGGAAGAATTTTATCCATAAATTCGGCCAATGACATCTCATCCAGAAGCTCAATCGATATTATGCAAGGAAGTGTGGAAGAGGTTTCATCCTGATTTTCTCCTACAAATAAGGGAACATCCGTGTATTAAGTCATAAAAAATTCGGATTTGTACCAGCCTTGCGCAAGTTATGCTTAAGACTAGAACACTCTTAGGAATACAGTTTTAAAGTAATGCCAAGTGGTACTCATACACAACTGTCTTAAAGTGGTATAGATAAGCAATACCGTGTGGTTATAGCTCGTTATTAAAGTTTAACCACATCGATAACAAAGTTTTACGGACCAGTATAAAGGACGGTCCATAAATTGCCTCCAGCAAGATAGAGGGAGGTGGCGGGTATCAAGGGCTCCAATAATATCGTGCATATGTGACACATCGTAAAGGGGAGTCTAGACAATAGCGATTTTTGCGTGACATAATTTATGAATCTCCCCCTAATTTTAATATTGTTAATACCGAGAAATCAAAATCTAACCTAACTTGAAGTGACTACTTATACTAATTCCAAGCAGTGTATAAGATATAAAACCGCTCACCCACCTTTTTGATCACGTAATATATCCCCATCCCCAAAAACTTTTACGGGCAGCTTGGAAAGTTGGCTGGGATGAGCTTTGGAAACGACTCGACTAATCCATTCTTCTTTGGAGAAGTGTTTCATATAAAAATATATTCGTTTAGGATTTGTCAACTTTTCTTCTTCAAACAGGGCAACGAAGGCTGTTTCGTCGAAATGAGGGGACGATGATATTTGTAGCGCCATGAGGACATGTTGTTCATCGAAAAGTTTGGCAAGCAGTACTAATCTGTAGATTGGCGCGTTTGGCTGCTTTTTCACTCGGACTACTTCAATTGTTTGGATATTTGAGTGGAGTTTTGCCTCCAATGATGATTTGAAGGAGAGCAGAAATTCCTGGTTTTTACAGTTTTTTATCTGTTCAAGAATAGAGTTTGAAGTGTGCTGCGCAGTTCTGAAAATACATTTTATATGGATTTATGTAGGGAGTAAATTTAGGAAGTTTAGGGGGCGGCTAATTTCTAATAGTTTTGGTGGGATCTTCCACCACGTGACCGGGAACAAACTCGAGCAATACTCTTATGCAAATTTTTAAAACACGAAATTTCTACAGTACCGGTATTATCTAACAATTCTTCCACCATTGTGAACAATTTACGTTAAAAATATCGCTAGATTTTAGCTCAATCACGTCATGAAGCCCGCCAAACGTAAGTAAAAAAGAATAAGTCACGTTTTGTATTACGTGTCTTTATCCAAGTTTTGTTCAGGATTGGTTAATTTTTCTTCCAATTCGAAATTCCGGAGTTCATCAACCATAAGGTTTGACTGCAATAAATCTTCCAAAATTGAAGCTGCCGTATTCTTTGGTAGAAAGGAAGAAATTAAAGTTTTGCAGTCCTCTTGAAGAGCAGATATAGGATCCATTTTTTTGTGCTGTAAGAAATAAAAATGAAATGAGAAATGGTTTATGAAAATGTGTCAACAGGTTAATTAAATAAAAACCTTCTTTCGTAGTTATTGTTCTTTTTTAAATGTTGTATTGTAATCAACTTGTGAAAAGACTGATTCCTTCTAAATAAAATAAATAAATAAAATGATATAATATGGATGTATTTACATATAAATACAAAAAATACATATATGCACATTTTGTCGTGTGGAAATATTCCGTGTGTCTTTAACCCGCGTGATAAAATAACTTTCATGAAAAAGATCAGGACTTTTTTTCTAGTTTACAAAAATTGCCGTACCATAATATGTATGTAAACTTGGTAAAAAAACTTTTATCAATTTACGGTAGTTAAAAAATTACCGATAACCAAGAAATGTGTCTCCTTTTACTACGTATCTCTAATAGTCAAATAACAACAATTTATTACTGTTGGTATGTTGAATTTATTTTAGACTTTTATTCAAAAAATAAATTTAGATCGCGTATTTAGTTGAACGATTAAAACTGCATTGTAATGATAATTTACTTATTTAGTAAAACACCAGTGAACAGTCAGACTCAGCAGCTGATAAACTGATGAACAAGAACGTAAATAATTACATCGTTTTATGTACATATGTATGAGTCGAGTATGGGTATAAGTTCCAGAAGTATCAAGGGAAGAGATGTGATTCAATATATGCATGCATTTCGCTGTTAAACTGTACGAATGTATGGCCTCGTAAATGCTGGACATGATATGTTTGAAGAAAGACATTAAATGGGGGAATGTGATCCAGCTTTTGTACAATTTTGACACTGGGATGATAACACATATGTACATCCTTCTTTGAAAAATTATCAATGGATTTGATACATAATGATTTGATACTTTGACCCCTGGAGTCAATCAAATCTTTTATGCACCACCCCTAGAATAAATGTATGCTTGTAGTTGCTGGACTGGTTTTGAGGAAGATACACAATCCCTTTTAAGACACGGACTGAACCAAACCACCACTTTTCCTTAATGCAGTATGTACTTAAATACAAATATGTATGTGCGTCACTATAACATGAAATTAGCTTATCCGCTACCCGATTAAAACCCTGGGCATGGGTATTATATTTTAATAGCAAAACCCCCGGGTTTTCCTTACTATGGCGGTGATGCCAATAATTTCATGTTAAACATTTCCGTTCACTCTATCGCCTAAAGTAGATTTTTGGCAGGTTAATTTTATTCATTAGTTGGATTGTTCTCAATACTGTGTATGTATGTATATAAAGATCGGTCACGATGGTATCGGACTGAAGAAATAAAATGCTCAGAACTTTTTACACAGTTAATGCAATTTCAAAAAAGTTGCATATGTTTACTACCAAAGGGTTTGGATTGCCATATAGTTCAAATTTTAATGATTCAATTCCGCTGTCTGCTACAGATTGCAGTTTCTTCTTCCGCCCATAGACTGCACTTACCTTCAACCTGATTTTCTTCAACCTGATTTTCTTCCCTCAAGTCAATCACATGCTTTTTGCACAATCTGTATGCAACATCTTTGTAATAATAGCCTACATGTTGAACGCAAATATCAAGTAGACCAGGCGCATGGATTAAAATTGTCTAAATATATAGTATATATTTAGACGTATATATAAAGTGTATTACACTTTAATTCTGTATAGTGGTTTGGAACATAATGGGGTTTTCCTCTATAAATTCAACAAATATCTTATCACGCCGTTAGTAAGTCCCACCTCCTCCTAACCCGCAGTGCGAACGTGCGCAGCTTCCGCTGCCTACGCTTTGGCAACAGTTTAGCTTAACATGATTTTTGTAAAGGGTGGGCTTAAAGTTTCTGAAAAAAAATTAACTTCAAAACATAAGTAGTCAAAACTTTTTATTGCGTGTATAGAATATTATAATTTTTTGTACGATTATTAACTAATATTTAGAGTGTCCGCCACCAGCTTCCAACATTTTTTCAATGCGTGAATTGAATGACTGTGCCAAATTTTCCAAAACGGTAACCGGAATGCTTTCCCACTCATGTTGAAATCTTCTGAATAGCTCAGCGGTTGTGGTTGGATATGGCGGTTTGTACGCAGAATCCTTAACAATGGACCATAAATTCTCCAGAGGATTCAAATCTGGTGAATTTCCGGGCCACACCCCTTTCCCCCACACTGTCAAAGGGAGCGCCTCCAAAACTTTGGTGGTCACTTTTGCAGTGTGTGCTGGTGCTCCATCTTGCTGAAAGGTGACCTTCTGTTGTTGGGGGAATAAAGTTGGGTCCTTCATGGATTTAATGTAAAGTGGGAGGATCTTGTCTTTGTAGTATGCAGCGTTTACGGTACCTCCACTTATCATATGCAGCTTTGTAACTCCTTGAGCACAGAAGCCACGAGCTACCATAACTTTTAGACCATGTTTTGGGGTCAATATTTTCGGGATTTTTTTCGGATCAGCTGTATAGTATCTTTGATTTTGTCTGTTACCAGTTGGTGACACCTCCAGCCAGGTTTCATCCGTAAAAAGAATGTGAGAGCGTTTCTGCTGCGCCCGTCTGTCGTCACCCAAATATCCCGTTCTCTTGACTGTTTCGCCGAATTTTAATCGGTCCTGAATATTTTTTTGAGTCAGAATCTGTTTCTTAGGTCTTTTGTAAGCCGTTTTGCCCCATTTTTGCTTTTTTACGTAATTTCGAACCGCAGCACGACTTATTTTCTTCCCCTTCTTTTGATACCTCGCCGACTCGTTCAGCTTCTTTAGTGTTTTCCTCACGGATCCACCAATTTTCTCCTTCAAATTTCTTGTTATTTGCGATTTTGAAGTAGGGGAGAGTGCTGTGGGTCGGCCTGACCTTTTTTTGTCCACCACGGTACGGCGACCTTCCCACAGTTTGACCGTATTGTAAGCAACTCCTAGTTTCCTCGAAATTTGGGAGGCACCATATCCCTCGCTCAATAGAGTTTGAATCTGCACCTTTTCTCTTCTCGACTCCTCATATTGTTGGACTACAAGGGGAAAAAAGCTTTGTTTACATGACTCTGCTGGTTTCCGAATAATATTGATTTTTATGAGGCGAGCTCACCTGATTTCACTCTTTTCAGAAACTTTAAGCCCACCCTTTATAACAGTGTGGTTCTTTAAATATTTAATGCAACTCGTGCGGGTTCGATTGAACATATTGGTTTTGTCAATAAGTTGTATTTTGTGTTCCTAATATATTAATGCAAGAGCTTGGGGGGAAGTATAGAAAGTATTTCATTCATATTCAGGTGCTTCAACATTTAGTTCACTTGAAACGTCGTACCAGCTTATTTATTTTTGTACCAAACGGTTTCTACAATATGAAGAACCTTATTTACACTGGCAAGTTTCTTCTAATCTTCTCAGTTACCCTAATATCGTCTGACTTCAACCTAGAGAAGATTGACAGTTTAGTCCCCCCAAGGGCGACGTTTCATATAATTGGCAACATCAAAACTAAAATGGGACATCAAAAATCTTGGGAAGGCAAGTTATTCGAGTTGTTCCTGAAAAACGGAAACTTTCCCAAAGTCTTGCATCACCTAAAAACAAATCGTTTAATGATGACCATTCGATATAATACGAAAACAAATCAGTCTTGCAGGAAAAATGAGTACATCATTTCCAATTATTTTGGTCACTCTATTATACAGATTTACGTCATATTTCTACCAAATTTGGAGACGAGTTTCGAGAAGGGAAAATTCATCCAAACCCAAAGAAAGTTAAATTACTGTGGGGAAAATCCAAGCTACATATTTCTCGCTTTAAGCCTGCTAAACCCCAAAGCGTTCAAGATACATCCAGTAGCGGCATCAACATCTAAGTTATTTGTAATCCAGGGTAGTCGAAACAGTACGGAATCTTTCAAAATCTTTGTAGTTTGCCTTCACTCCAGGTTACATTCTTTACTCGAACTTAACCCATCAATAACCTACCACTCTAAGACCCTTGATTTCCCTTGGAAAAGACAGAATTCCAACTTGCATGGCTTGCTCATAAGCTCAGGCAGGAATAACTTATTTGATCCAGAAAACCACAGCGCTATTGAAGGTAAACGGAAATTTGCGCATAGGAAAACATGTGCGCAGCTGGCACTTGGAAGTAAGTTTAACTTTAGTGACGGCCATAATAAAGGGCACGGCGCTAATGCCCAAATAAATTACGGAAATTTTTTGAAGAAGTCTGCAATTGAAGGTTCGTTTTTGTATCCTGAATCTGCACCCTTATCCTGGCTCCCACATTGTGGGCAAAGAGTGCAACTTAAAATTGCAACAGTATCTTTTAGCCAGTCAAACTTGGAAGGTTTGAAAGGTGTTCATTTGCCGCTTGACAGCTACACTTGGGCGGCCTCGGGGGTATCTTTTACAGTTATATCCATCATGCTGGCTATATTTGGAATCAAAGATGGTGGAACGTTAAAAAAAGCAGGGGAACATTTCATGCAATCTTGGCAATGGATCCTGGCCTCCCTGGCCAGGAGTTACCGATGTTTCCCGACTCATACATCATTTCCCAGTATTTTCTGTCATTGGCGTCTTATCTTTCTTTCTCCTGGGAACCGTGTTTTATCAAGGGTCACTGTTCTCCGCACTTATAGTCATTACCCCACCACTTCTACCGTCAAGTATGGAATCCGTTGTTGACTCAAATATTCAAACTGTAACCACCAGTAGAGCTTTTTCGGGGTCCGCGCGTACGTCAGTATCTTGGTTAAATTATTTAATTACTGACGTAATTAACACCACTGCTAGCACGACAAAGTTCTTTAGTACTTTGACATAACTTAAAGAAAGGACCAGTTTAATCGATACGACATCTGCTTTTGTTGTTGGTCGTAATATTTCTGAAGCCAGTGATATAAATCTTGCCGAGTATCATAAGAAGGTTATGGATACGTTCGCGATTATAATTATGGACGACAAGTTGGACGAATTCTTAGCCGGGTTAAGAGTGAAGAGAGACCCCTACGTGGCCATTCATAAAGAGCCATCATTATTTTTTATCAATGTCCCAATAAGTATTACACGTGGCTTTCTGAATTCCCTTGTAGCCCAAAGTTTTGGTCAGTTAGCTCAATCTGGTTTGTATAAATTATGGCAAGATTTAGAAAATACAGCAGCACGTACCACGAGAATCAAAAGGCAAACCAATGAGGAGGTATATCGAAAAGTTATTCTTACCACATTGTTTGGTACAAAGAAAGTATAGTTTTTGAAGAGGCGAACCAAGTTTCTCTATCTGCATTGAAGGAGGTGCTCTGCCTTTGTGCAGGAATATTAAATGTCGCAATGGTGGTGTTCATTCGGGAATTAGGGATCTATAAAATGTTAAGATATGCAGGCTTAAATGTAGACGAGCCGCGTGTAAGATTCATTATGTGATGAAACAAAAGTATAATTTTTTTAGAAAACGGAATTGGTTAAGCATACACTCTAAATAACGCAGTTTTAATCGTCACCGAACTTTGTGCATGCATTGGTTACTTCACCGCACGGTGATAATGTTTCTAACCTGATGGAGATAAAATTAACAACAGCCAGTAACAATTTGTTGCCCTTTCTCAATGTGTTAATCACCATTTGGCGAAGTCACATATGTACATATGTCCACCGTTTAGTGTCGATCCACATCGGGTTTTTAAGATACCAATTAAATTTTGCGCAGGTTACGTTAGTTGCCCATGAAATTGCAGCAATTTAAAATGTACTTTTTGCATTACCAGAGCTTCTTCCTGAAATCGTATTTAAATGTGTCTAAAATGTGCAATGCCGTTAATGATATCGAAAACAGATTATTAAGGAAAGTAAGGAAAATTGCTACTCGATTTCGAAGGCAATGCACCGATATATTGTATAATGTTGATGATTTCAAGTTTAGATACGGCTAATTTATTAATAAGTTTGAGGATTAAAGAGCGGATAAATGTTATCGGTTCTTACTCAATTTTGTATACATTTTACTTTGTATTACTTTGTGTGTGCGTATCCTAGTATTAAATATCACGGATTCTGTATTTGGTTCTTGGTATCGGCTTGGTTGCCATAATGTAGTCTAAAAACTTATTTTTGACTTTTAATCACTGTTGGTGAGGCGTAAAATCAAACTCTTCATACCCATATTTGTTTAATAAATTGAATATAGTTACATATAAATTTACATGAAATTAAACTTTTATTAAATTTATTTATATACATGCCCTACATATATTTTAAACCAGTTCGATTAACGGAAAATTGCATAACACTTAATAAATGCATGATTGTTCACACTCGAATTCAAAACTCGCATGCAATGGAACGTTAACTAAACTTAATTAAATTCCTCAGGAAATATGGTTTAATTGTTTAAACAATGGCCACATTGTCATGAAGTCTGTTGGGTTTGTATATATTTATATTTTATATGTACATCCTGCATCCTGTGTATCCCGTCACGAGCTTCATTCATTCTCGTTTTTATCCACATTCACATTTCTGTCTCACACGGAATAACTTCTGGAATAAAAATTTAGAACACCAAATCAAATGAAGCTGTACCTTTTGGCCATTATTGTTGCCTTAACAGCAATCTTGGGGGCTGTATCCGATGGTAAATTACAGTCAAATTTAGCTTTTTAGAAATCTGATATGGTAAAGCTATGTATCTGTATTTAAGTTTCCAACGCTTGGTATTAAAACTATGCAAGGTGGTAAAAATTAGGTACAGATGTGGTAAAACTTTAATACCGACGGAGATACATACATACACAGTGCTCATAGATTATGTAACGCAAGAGGGCTATAAAGCTTAAAAAATCTGGATTTCTGCCGTTACATAATTTATGAACGTCCCCTAATTTCTAATTTTTCTTGACCTTAACAGAGTATGACCCAACGAGTTGTGTCTGCGAGGAAGACAGCGGCAACTGCAAAATTTCTCGTGGCGTGGGAACCCCTGGATACAAATGCTACTGCAAATACTACGGAGGTCAAGGTGGTGACTGCAGTTCAACCTCGATGAAGTGTGATGAGGGCGAAAACTGTCCGGAAGGATGTACCACGAAAGAATGTTGCCTCACTGGTGGGGGAGATTGCGGGGCATACTGAAAAATTATTTTAGGATGCGTTTGTCACTTGATCATTTAGATAAACATCTTCATTATTTTAATTTAGTTGTAAAATAAGTTTTACTCATATGGTTTTACTCGGATACGGGTATGAACTTGATGTAATTCTGGAAGCTGTATAGTTACTGAAATATAGATATTCATACACCCAGGGACAGCAAAGCATTTGCAAACATTACACTCAACAACTGACCTAGAACTTGAATCTGATTAATATTTTCACTGGTTTTGATGAATTTACAAAATTGATATTTATTCCAATACATCAACAACGTTATTCGCAAACAATTTGGTTTTGGTGAACAACGAATTATTCGAAATTAATCGACCATTGTGCAAAATTCAAACAGAATATTATGCATTATATTTTAGGTTTTGTGTCGATTAGACATGTAGTTATGTAGGACCTAAATAAACACATCGTAGGTTGCGTGTATTTAATTGCCAAGTAATGTACATACATCTTGCAACCAGGTGGAAAATACTAAAATACGTACATACTCATGAGTTTCTTGTAATTTACGAAAAACAACAAAACATTCATGAGTATATTGTTACATATTATCGAAAAATAACAAGACTCATGAGCCTTTCGTTATACATGGCAAACAACAACAAAATTTGTTGACAAACATAATTTATAATTTTTAATAATAAGAATAATTTTTAATGTGTAATAACTTGGTATAAAATCACGAGTTATCCATATAAATTACATCAGTCATATTTTCTACATTTTGTCGATCTTTGGTCGATTTGGTCGATCTTCTACGATTTGGTCGATCTTCATAGCAATGCTAAAATGCCCAGCCAGAACTCCGTCTATCCTACCAGGATGAACGGATGGACGGACAAAACGATCACAATAACTCCACATTCATTTCGTTCCGCGCTTCAATAATTTTCTAACATTGGGACAAACCGTTTAAAAACCTCGTTTTAAATGGAAATTTTGTTTCAGCCTCTGCCCACGCAATCACTCGAGACGAAGTAATCGCCAGAGCGGAAACCTGGCTACATCCGCCTGTTCCATACAGCCGGGAAGCTTACAAGAATGGTTATCGCACTGACTGCTCGGGCTATGTCTCCATGGCGTGGAATACTGGGGTCAACTACAACACGAATACTCTGTTGGATATTACATATCCAATTTCAAAGGATGACTTACAAAAGGGCGACATTCTGCTAAAGCGTTGGGACCATGCGGTTATCTTCCATAGCTGGGCGTATTTGGGGTATGAACTTGCCGGTGGGGGTGTTGGGATGGTGAAAAAGTGGAATATTCCGTACCAGTATTGGCGAGGAGCTAGGGGTTATGAAACGAGAAGATATAATGGGATTCAATAAAGAAACATGGCTTATTTCGAATATGATTCAATCAATTTCTAAATCCACGGACTATAAGTTGTGCTTTAAATCAATCAGTCAATCAGTTAAAAAGTGTACTTCTTTCATAAATATTCATTTGAAGGGGTTTCACACCACTGTACTCCGTATAAATAAATTAATCGCTTTATTCATGTAATTACCAAATCAAAAATTGTATGGTCCAATTACTACATATGTAATTATTTATTGTTTATTAATGACAGTTTAACACAACCAATTTTAATTTTATATTAGTTTAACGTATAACGTATAGTTTAACTTATATTTATTTACGCAGAATAAATAAATTTAAAACTAAACAACAAACAAATCTGGGCAGCCATGTTTTAGCAAAGATCGCCATATTAATGAAGTTATTTTAGTAAATTTAATAAAAATTGTTATCCATTTTTCAAGAAACTTAAAATTTAGTCACATCTTCATCAAGAAAAAATGAAATCGTCCTCCCTCCATTTACTTGTAATCCGGACAAATCCTTCGACTCAGCGTTCTTAAAACCTGGACCAACTCATTAAACTGGTCAACCGTAAAGAGTCGATCTTGCCTATACCCAGAAATTTCCTTAAGCTCATTCACGTCATAATTGCCAATTCCGACCGCGAACATTTCCAATCCTGCGTCCAATGCGCGGTGGAATATGAAAAGTAAATAAATAATTTCGTGCACAAAGGGAAACCAGTAAAAATTTGAAGGTGTTATGCAAATATGATTTGTTTACCATGATGATATTGGTGTCTTCAAGGATTTTGATTCCCCAAGATAGTTTGACCTCTGTATTATTCTATTGTATGTATCTCACGTTGGGCAGCTGTAAGTTTAGATAAGAAAACTTAATCATGTGGAATTGGGGAGGTTCCAATCCTGAATATCCTAACAGAAGTATGAGCCGCCTCCGTCGTCAATGGCATATTATTCGACATTCCGTCCGTTAAGACTACGACGTTTTGCGGTATATCGGTCCTGCGCAGAGGAACCGTTTGGGCAATGGCAGAATCCAAGGCGAGATGCGTGTTGGTTCCTCCTTTAGAATGCGCTGCTCCCAAAATCTGGGCCTTCAGAGTGTCCCAATCAGCCACAAAATTCAGGGAAACCACGGGATTCACAGACGAAGAGAATGTCGACATTCCAATTTTATTTTTATCGTGGACCGCAAATGCGGATATTAATTTGACAATAAATTCTTTGGCAAGAACGAAATCTGCAGGGGAAATGCTTCCTGACGCGTCCAACACGATGTAGAGGTCGTTCGTTTCGTAGCATGGGATTGGAATTGTGCCGTTTTCATTGGTTAACTATATTTATTTTGAAACTTGGTAAGTTAGGTATTTCATAATTATGGGAAGAATGAACGTACCCATCTCAACATTAGCAAATTGAATGTAGCAACGGTAATTTTCGAGATTTCGCAAAAAGTTTGCTGGTAAGGTGTATAATATTATAATATAATCTCATCCTCACCATGCTAACAAGAGAAACTATAAAAATCCATTTAATAGGATAAAAAATGTAGGTGATTCTAAACAGCAAATTCGCCAAGTAATTTTTTGTGGATCCTCTCTCGATATAAATTTTTTGGGCTTTGCAAATTCTCGAAAAAGTTTCTATGTATGTGTAACAAGACTGTGTTTTGTGTATGCTCAATGAATTTCAATTTCGTCCAAATTCGAAATTCTAAAAATTTCAAATTTTATAAAATGATTTCCTAACCTCGCAAATATATCGTCGCGGCAGCGTGTCGCGGCAGATTCGCAAATTTTTTGCAAATTGCGAAAATTTAAAAACTTTCGCAAATTTTGAATTTCTTCGTTTCTTTAAATTCAACGAATTTATCAGTTGAACTTATATAAAATATATTTTTCTTATTACAAAAAATTTACAAAATTTGCAAAAATTAAAGTTTACAATTTTTTAATTTTGCTTTTTATAGAAACTTAAAAATTGTCATATATGTATGTAAGTAAATGGAAAAGCTAATTTGTTGAACAATTAAAACATGCAAGCGTTGCAAAAAAATTCTACATATTGAATTAAAAAATTGCACACGCTGTAAGTTTTTGCAACTTGCAAAGATAAATATCGCAAATAATTTCGAAAAATGTAGACTAGCATTGGTTATTTAACTTATTTTCATGAAAAATTACGAAGTTCAGTTTTTGCAAATTTCTGCAAATTTGTTGCAATAAGAAAAATATATTTTACATCAGTTAAACTGATAAATTCGTTGAATTTAAAGAAACGAAGAAATTCAAAATTTGCGAAAGTTTTTAAACTTTCGCAATTTGCAAAAAATTTGCGAATCTTTGCATCATTTTTTGAATATTCGTGATCGGGCTGAAATTACGCGGACGGGTACATAAATAGTTTTTCAATATTCTATAAAGTTCATTTCATCATTCTAAAGGCTGGTGGCTATGCTAAAAGCATTGGGAAAATGACAGGTTTTGGCACAAATTTTTTAGCCAAATATTTCGCGAAAACGCGATTTTGCACCGCATGTTCTATAACAAAGTTTTAGTTTCACTAAATTATCTGTCGATTAAGGCTATTTGGAAGGAAATCGAGAGGTGACAGTACTTAAGGTTCCCTTGTCAGTAGCCAAGATAGCTAAATATTCCGGGGTTTTTGCTTGAGCTGCATGGAACTCATTGAGCTGGGGTACTGGTCTATGCAAAAGCTTGTCATAGTCCGGAAAAACGGGGGAGGCTATGAAACATTGGTAACTACGTTTCCTTGCGGATTAGAAGGTATGAAGTAGCCCGGAAAGCAAACCTATATTGATTTGCATGACGTATGTATGTAGTTCTGAACTAAATGTCATTTCAGTAGACAAGAGCTAGACAAACAGTACTTCATATTCGGGGCTTCCTCTTGAGGTGCATGGAATCTACTAAGCTTGTTTATTGGTCCTCTTCTAATTTTTGTCGTTGGGGGTAAACGTTACAGCGGGAGGGTATGGGGAATTGGTAACCACGGGTTGATGCGGTGTGAACCGGTGACAATGAGAAAAGATCCCGAGAGATAATGCAATCCTGATTTCCATGACCCGTTTTGAAATGAACTATTGTCCCAGTGTCTACGAGCACTGCAATCGAAAGTAAATATTCGGCTGCTTTCGTCGAACTCCGATTCAGCCTGTACAATGGGACGTTCGAAATGTTTGTTTCTAGGAAATCGGCAGAGGGGCATTGACTTTCTTCAGCAAAAATGCGGAAATACATTGAACTTACTAAAGGGAGGGCAGCCTGGTGGATACGAATTTGGCCTTGAATAACCCCGGAACGGTTTGTCGTAGCGGGTCAAAATTTTGAACAGAAGAGCATGTTATCCTCAGATAGTTGTGTGCAAAAATTCAACTCTCTACTTTCAAAAATGCCTCCCCCACAGCCCCCAGAAGTTGAGACACTCGTTTCAACTTTTTCCAAACTCCGTCTAAAAAATTCGGTCCCCACAGAAAGATTTTCTTTTCATCTATCCGAACTCAAACAAGTCGATTTGACTTATGTCAGGGGATTGTATAGGTATTTCACTATTCCAAATGATTTTTATCCCCAATCTAGGTTCAAGGTCATTTGCATAATCTTGGGTCAACTTTGCCGTCTGGGAGGACGCTCCGTCATGATGGAAAATCACCTTAATTATTATTTTACCGTGCAAATTAGGAAAATTGTATTCTAAAAGTGGTTTCAGTACAAGGTCCACATAATACTTCGAAGATTCCTTCACTTTTTGGGGGACTTTGATAAGTGGGAGGACCCCACGAGAGGACATTGCACCCACGACCATCAACTGTTTAAAAAAGTTCTCCTCACTGAAAAGCACAAAATTTCTTGAATTTTTTTTCGGCATTTGTCGTGTAGTAAGCTCTTCGAACCCAATTAGTAACTTGTAGGGAAAATAGTTCTACGTCAATTGTCACCAATAGCTCACTTCTATTCCTCAACAGAATATTCAAATAAAATTTTTTGCAAACACGGGCGAGATTTTTTCTGGAACTATTTGAAATGACTGTCTCAGCTTCTGGGGGCTGTGGGGCAGGCATTTTTCAAAGTTGAAGGCTGAAATTTTGCACACAACTATCTGAGGATAACATGCTCGTCTGTTCAAAATTTTGACCCGCTACGACAAACCGTTCCGGGGTTATTCAAGGTCAAATTCGTATCCACTAGGCCGCCCTCCCTTTGGTAGTACGAAATAAACGTCACGGCTATTCCCATCCTGATTTTCTTGACACTTTTCGAAATGAAATGTCGTCTCAGTGGCTAGGAGCACTGAGCATGGACGTAAATATTCGGCTGCTCTCGTGGAACTTAATTCGGGCGATTTAGGCGTATTATTAGGAGATTTGAAATGCTTGTTGTCGATCAGGAAAACGGCGGAAGGTTATGAGGAGTTGAAAACCGGGCGGTGATGAGGTGTAGCTGCGGATCAGGGGACAACTCACCCGACGAGTATGCTGATCCTCATTTTCCATGATGTTTTTCGAAATAAAATATCATCAAAGTGGCAACGAGCACTACCAACGTAGGTAAATATCTGCCAGTCCTCGTCGTGCTAGGTTTAAACGAGTCAGCTGACTGGTTGGGACATTTGAAACGCTTATTGTCGACCATGCAAACGGCGCGAGGTTTTCTGGACCAGGTGACCACGGTTTCATGAGGGATAGCTATAGAGTGAATGGAACCACGCCCGATATTTATTTTTGTGCTGATTTTCGTGACGTGTTTCGAAATGAAATATTATCCCAGTGTTAACGAGCACTGCAAATGTAGGTAAATATTCAGCTGTATTCGTCGATCTGCATTGATCGATTCCTCCGGGATTTGTGTACCAGCACATGCTATGGTATACATACCCTCTATAATTTGTAGGTAAGGTCTCCCCAAATTTGATGCTCAAAATATTTTGTTGTCCACGGTTGACATGGATGAAACCTATAAATAATAGCAAAGCTTCATTGGTAATATTGAAATTTTTATTTTCTTCCGGGAAAACGGAGGGCGGATTCTGACACCGATAACAACGGATGCCTTCGGTTTATTAGGTCTATTAGACCTGTAGGATCTTTCGCGTTAGATTTACGGATGTTAATTTATCGTTGGAAATTGGATGTCACCTCAGCGGCCACGAACTCGAGAACCACTGCTAAATATTTGGTGGGTCTGGTGATGTTTTGTAGGACGTCCTTTATTACGGTGTAAATATTAAAAGGAGAGTACATTTGTACATGCAAAGCTTTTGCGGGTAGTTTTATCCTGTTAAAAATCACACAGTGGAACTTTTCTCGCTAACTTTTGGAAAAATGCATCGTTAAAATGGGTTGAGCGAAAAGCTTTAACTGATGCAATTTATTTGTCCTGCCAATAGTATCGTTGGTTACGTTTCGCGAAAAGTTATGAGATCGTTTACCACAAGTGCATTACGATCGAAACAAGGATCCAAGATCAAGGATTTGCACGAATAATTTTCCTAGTAGTGGAAGTCTATTTTCCCCGTTTGCCACGCTGCCCTCGTTGAATTTATGACGAATCAGCTTAATGTACAAACAGACGAGTCAATGCCAAAAAGTTTCATAAGCCCTAAAAACTAATGTGGAAAAATCTGTCCAAAGTGTGGAAACTTTACCTGGTGGATTAGAAGTCGCATAAGGTTGACGTTAAGATATGCTAACTTAATCAGTCATGTAGGCCATTGCTTACATTCTACTTAGTTCAATTATTACTTAATACTGGCTAATTCTCCTCACTTTTTTATGATCTCGTCACGCATTTATAGAATCAAAACAGTTATGCCTACCACCCTAACCCGTGCAGAATATTTTTCCCTACTTATCTGATTTAAATTGTCTGGCTGGCAATGATTTTGAATCCTTTCACACGTCATAACTGATTGATTGATTGATCATTGAATAAGAAATTGCTGCAAAGTGGGTATACTAAATCACGAAATTTATTAAGTATATACGTAGTTTTACTTATTTCTTTACGTGGGCATGTCAGACCCACCTGTGCTACCTCACAGAAATGAATCACCCCAATTAAATATTGCCCAAATTAGGCAAGTTCCTGAATTTGGACAATCAGTGATAACCGGTCATCGCCATCATATCACTATTCCTCCGCCTCCACCTCCTCCCACCCCTGAAATGAAAGGGGGACGACAAACCAGCAGCTGCGTCTGTCTGACCGGCGTCGCTGCACTTTTCATGATTATCGCACTTTTACTCGTAGTCATAATTTTATTGTTAATACGGTGCGGGTGGAACCCACAACGTGTTTTGGATGGAAATGTTTCGCTTACTGCTAGTGTAACTACAAAACATGTAGAAATTTACGACACGCAAACAACTACCGCAATGTCACACCTACCCCGGACAACAACAGGGGTAATAGATTTTACTGAAAATCATGACCAAAACGAGTCTACTTATCAGACCGAAATGGAAATTGGGACATCATCAATGTTACCAAGCAGTTCGTCTACAACGACGACCACGGAGATTACGATCACAATAGAAGCTGAAACAGTAAGAATAAATACTTTAATTTGGAAATATTTACATACGTCTGCACACTCTTAAAAATATTTAGCATTAGCTTTTTGTGAAATAATTCCATTGAATAATCCGACTGAAAATCTTTGGGACATATCGGTATGCAAAGCTTACCCCATTTTGGAGCAGTGTGACAGCGTCACTTAGCTAAAATATACTATTTTTAACACTTAGGCGAAAGTTGGGAAACAGACGCTCGAATAGTTCGTGGGCTCCATGTACCCCCGAGTTAATGAATTTATTTCAAAGCACTAGGAGCCCCGAAGTACTAAAAGTCACTAAAAACTTAAAATATTGCTGAGCAAATTAAATACAGATTTTTAAATTTAAAATATGGACGATCGCCTATCTTTTTGCACCACCTATTTTTCAAATTTTTCTAACTACTAAATTTTCCCGCAGACGCAAGTATGTCGTACTTATGTCATGAGTCAGTAATGCCATTGTACATATTAGTGCAGAATTCCAAGTCACACTTTTCATTATTGTGAAAATTATGCAGTAAAAACATTATCGCCTATCATTTTGCTCCTGGCTGTACCTATTAAGTTACCGTTCGGGATGTTGAGTGGTAAAAACCTAATTGGCCAAGACAGTGGGAGAAAGGCACTTTTTACAACCCAGCTAAGATATGTAGGAAATGGAAAAATATGAAACCTTTTTTAGGCATAGTTGACACCAACTTCTTCAAAACTTTATATTTTCAAAATTGCAATTCATATTCTCCATAAAATTCTGAGAAGATAAATTTTTTAAGTAAAAAATCCTGAAAATTGGAAAAACTACCAAAATTATTAAAAAAATCTAACGGGTTTTAAATATCAAAATATTTCACATCAAATTTGGCAGAAATTCATGGAGATGACGAATATGAAGCCCAACCATGAAAATATTCATTATTAAAGAAGTTATCCCCCCCATAATTAAATACATGGGCCGCCGTATTTTGCCTTTTGGCGATAAAAACCATTGTTGGAGGTTTTTCATTCCGTGAGAAAGTGTAATTTTTTGCGACAATACGAAACCCTGTTCACCTTACCCCCAATTTAGTATGGTTAAATTAGTAAAAGGGAAGCATTACTTTTATAGTGTGAATTTTGCATGCAAAGCTTCTTACAAGCAGGAATATCCTTTTAATGTTCACACCGTATGTAGTAGTGTGCTTACATAAGTTTTTATGAATCACCTCACCAGCGAGGTGCCTATTGTATGCAAATCAGTTAAAAGTTTGTATTTAAAGGAAAAAGAATTTGACAATCCCACCATGATCTTATTTCTTGTAGCAGGATTACCAACCTCACACCCACCACGAGAATAATCATGAAGAATGCGTCACACCAACTTGTCGAGCCATTGAAATGCTTAAATCCTCGCTGGATGAATCATTTCATCCGTGTGAAGATTTTTATCAGGTAAATTTGCGTATGTATATAGTATGTACATACATTTGTAGCAAATAATATCTAATTATCCCTTTAATCCCGAAACGTACAGTTCGCATGTGGTGGTTGGATTCGACAAGTGAAAGACCAACTACAAAAGGAAAATGCAACTGCGACCTCCTTCCTGAACGAGATTGACAAAGAAAATACAAAATTTGTGCAAAAACTGATTGGTAAGCTGACAAGCTTGTCAATTTATGGTATAGAGTGTTACCCGCAAACAGTTCAACAATTCACGATATTAAATAAAATAGTAGTCAATGTGGGTATTCACGTCACTAAAAAACGTCGCTTCGCAACACATTTTCGCAACTTTGCGGTGTTTGCGAAATCGGTGTCGTGAACGACTTATTTTACATGAAAATGCGTAAATTGATTATTTGCAAAAAATAATTCATTTGACGGAAAAATGCAAAAGGTTGTCTGGCAACATTTCCTAAAATGAGGAGAAATGAAAATTTTGCTTGACGACGAGTGTTCGAAAAATAGTTTACGACGATAATAGATGCTGTTTTGCTTCGTATGTTTCGTAAAAAAATAAAGCAATCTGATTGGTTGTCGCATCGCAACTCTTCGCAAACATCGCAAAGTTGCGAAGATATGTTGCGAAGCGACGTTTACGGCTTTTACGAAATTGACGTGAATACCCACAATGATTTATCGCCAAAATTGTCATACTCAGCTCATTGTTACATAATCATTTCTCAGCTTTTCGAATGTATTAAAGCCTACTGAATGGTATATTTGTGCAGCGGGTCGTTTCCACCAGATTTTAAAGCTGGAAAAATCAAGGTTAAGAACCCATAAGAAAATTTGAAACTCATCCAAAAATTCACCACAATTCTATTAATCAAATTATTGCGTAGAAATTTTTTGTTTGGAGTTTTATAATGATTTAAAATGTGCTGACTTTGACAATTTCAGTATCGATTCCTTGATATATCTATTAAGGGTATGACATACATCGTATGTACATATGAAACAAATATCCTGGCTACACCAACTTGTCAAGTGCAAATACTACGCATTATTCCGTTTGCGGTATAATCTTGCACAATTCTGCACATGTTGCTCCGCATTCTTATTCTTTTTGGCAGAATATTGCCCCAAATTTGTGTAAGAAAAATGTAAAAATTTTAATACGATAACACGGACATATGTATATACCAAGTCTGAAATTATTACCATGCACAATTTTATTTACATACACCTGTACATACACATACATACATACATACGTTACATACGTTACATACACATGTACCTCCTCCGATAAAAAATGTTGACGAAAATCTCTCAATGTACAGAAAGAATCCAGCACTCCGAATCTGGTGCTACCGGAAAGGTGGCCCGATTCTACACGTCCTGCACATCCCACCCCAACTTAAAGGCCGTCGTGGATACATTCAGCCCTTCAAGGGACACGGGTTTGAACTCCGCAATTTCTGAAGTGTTGGCACACTTCCTCCTTCAACAAAGACTTCCCTTTCTCTCTGAAGAGTTGAAGAGGCTGCTCCTCCTGTCCGGAAATGAGACTGGATACAACGCCGAAATGTGCACGTATCTGACCCGCCTCCATTTCCCGGAAGTTGTGGCAAAACTGTATGTTCAAAACTATTTTGAGCATTCGTTGGAAGAAGGCGTCCTTAATTTGGCGAACAAAGTGTGGAAAACATTCAATTCTCAGGTGAGTAAATTAAAAGGGTGGAAGTGACGTAGGTACATGACTTTATTTTGAACCGCTTAATTTCTTTCACACGTGGAAAATGTAAAAGCGCCAAAAGTTTTTATTGTGACAATTTTTTCGTGTATGAATGCTTCATAATTTAAGAAATTTAGTTCCAGAACGGTTTCTATTTCCGCTGAAAGTAACCAGCTAGAGATAGGGGTTTATTACAGGTAAATTTATTTTGGCCTACAAGAAATGGAAGGCTTATGAAACGTTCCCGTAGTTAATAAGACGCGTAGCTAGATGACGCACATTTCTTACAGTTTTTTGCATCTTGCCTTGCTTGCTTTGCAGTGCAAGAAATGTAGCAAATTTGCAACCGTGAATCACTGAGTTCAATTTCACTTGCAGTAGCATGGGCTGCTATCGAATTACGATTGTCTGTCTGTCCGTCCGAATTTATGTCTGTCTATGTAAATATGTTTGTACGAGTTTTTTTGCATTACATAATTCATACGAAAAATAAGCAAAAAAATCACCTATTATTCAAGGTTTCCTACCACACTGATTGGATAACCGACCTCCGTTCCACCGTAACTCTGAAGAAAAACCTAGATCAGCTCGTAATATACGTCGGATACATGGGCCACATCCTTGACGACACCTTGGTAAACAATCGATACGAAGAACTGACAATTTCCACCAATTCGTCCGACTTTATCTCAAACTGGAAACAACTCGCAGTTTTATACGAAGAACGAAAGAATTTCATGGAACTTGAACTCGATCTGAATACCCCCTTGGCGAACGCGTTCTACTATCCCGACGTTGACAAAGTATTCATCCCTGCTGGAATAGTGCAAATGCCCGAATTCCACCCCGACTTCCCGGACGTGCTCAAATTTGCAAAATTGGGCGCCACAATTGGTCACGAGTTGGGGCATGCGCTACATTTTTATGTTAATGGGGTAACGTCAGAATGTGAGCTACGCAAAAATAACTGTTCGTTCAAAAAAAATCAGAGACTAAAATCATTAAAGTCTGCTAATCGGCTAGATAACCTTTCAAATTTTGTTGTATCTATTTTTGAACGAATAACAACCTACAATTAATTTTACAACAAAGTCACACTAATTTGTAAACAATTTTAGATAATGACCGCCTCTATGAGGTTTTCCCTAGCGTGGTGTCGCAAAAATGCAGGGATAATTATGAGGAGATTTGCGCATGCGTGGCAGACCAATACGAGACGTACGAAGTACAACTCCCCGCCGGATATGAGAATGAAACACTCACCGTCAACGGGACACTTACCAGTGAGGAAAACGTGGCGGATAATATTGGTCTACAAGTAGCGTTTACGTCGTTTTTGCAAAATGAAGCCGACAAATTATGGGAACCGTTGGAAGGATTGGAAATGTTTAGTCGGGAACAAATATTTTTTATTGCGCATGCTCAGGTGAGTACATACACAATTTGTCCAGTTTCTTGCCGGAGTTTAGTACAAACAAAAACATTTTTTGGAAATTTTTGCTTATGAAAATTTCAAGTTCGTGAACTTTAAAAACTCCTAAGAATTTCGTAGAGTCCCACAGTAACTGATTTCTCGGTATTAACGTTGCTACTGTTTGGTATTAAAATTATATCGGTCCGTAAAATTTGCTACTGATATGGTAATACTATATTGCCGAGCTATTGCCACATGGTTATACATACATACATATTTATCAATACCACTTTGGTAGAGTCAAATCTTGGTAATATTTTAATACCGGATTTCTAATTGTGCTACCAATTTGATCACAGGAAAGCTGCGAAGCCTATGCAAGTCCTGACGTAACCGTGGTCAGGATGAAAAAGGGACTAGAAAAGGATTCCCATAGCCCCGGGCAAATCCGGGTTTTAGGCTCGCTTAGCAATTCACCCGACTTCTCCAAGGCATGGGAATGTCCAGTCGGATCAAAATATAATCCAGACCGGAGATGCAAATTTTTTCCTAGAATATTAATAAAATTTGTACTACAAATGCATCACTGATGCAGATTATCCTACCAACGATCAACGATAATTTTGAAAAATTTATGTCAAAATTGTCTAATAAAATCCGCCAAGTAGTATGCATTATTGGTGCGTTATGCATCCCATCCCCCAATAATTTCGCATCATTTTGTGTAACACAAAATGATGCGAAATTATTAGCTCGCCCTGCGTAGCAGAGGAGCTATTGAATTCCTCTTGTCCGTCCGTCTGTCTGTCTGTCTGTCCGTCTGTCTGTCCGTCTGTCTGTCTGTCTGTCCGTCTGTCTGTCCGTCTGTCTGTCTGTTAACGACTCTTTTGCATCAATTGATGCTAATTACTGCGACTTATTCACGTTCGTGACAGACTTAATAGCACCACTGGTATCGAACAAGCGGCGACTCAAAATGGTGCCAAACAATTGATGGAATAGGTGAAAAACGCACAAAAAGTGCAGAAGAACCGAAAGAAATGACTATAATTTTTACTATGAATTTGCCAATATTTCATGTCAAAATTACTGTTTGTTTTCCTTCATTTATTTTCCACCATCGGCGCAAAATTATGTCACAATTATGTATATATTTTTTCCGCTTGTTCTGCACCATTAATGCAAACTTATACCAAAATTGCATATCAATTTTATTCGTCTATTCTGCACCATTGGTGGACAATTATGTCAAAATAATTCTCACAGGGTGAGCTACTTCCACCGTTACAACGGTTACAAGCGGCGACTCAAAATGGTGCCAAACAATTGATGGAATAGGTGAAAAAAGCACAAAAAGTGCAGAAGAACCGAAAGAAACACCTATGACTTTTGACGTCAAGTTTTTTTATGTTTTTATGTTACTCACCAAAAGTGCAGAGTATCTGGATACAATTTGTCTCCCTTATTTACCAAGAAAAAGTCGAAATTATGTCAATTTTATGGATCTATATTCCCCGCTTATTTTTCACTATTGATGCAAAATTATATCAAAAACATGCATTTATTTTCAAATCATTGCAAAGTTATACACAACACCAACTGGGTTTCGGCTCTCTTTAAGCCCAAGACAGGTCGCTACTCCCGTTCATCAGGTAACCAGCAGGTTACGACCCAGTGCGATTTCTATTTATGAACCCATGACATCTTACATCGCATCTGGGCCCTGGTAATGTATACTTCAACATTACCAGAGCAATTTGATGAACCCAGGGTATGATAGAGATGCATATGAACCAGAGGTATGATAGGGCATAGGAACCAAGGGTATGATAGGGATGCATATGAGCCAGCCGCCATTAGATGCCACTACCTGTCCCAGTCAGTATCTCATTTGGGAAATAATTTCCTTGTACTTAACTCCGACCAGGAGTGCACTCAAATGAGACACTATTAATGACTTGGGACACCCTAATCTCGACGACTTCATTGCAAAAATGCAATAAAATACACCTACCTTTTTTAGACGAACTTGGGTAACTTTGAACCTTGACGTATCGTTTGAATCTGAAAAAATCAATTAGTAAACCAATCAAATAACTTGGATATTCCGATTGAACCAATGAAAGAAAGATGAAGATCTGAAAATTGAATAAACTTAGATTAAATACATATATGACACTAAAATTAAATAAGGGCTGGTAGTGGCATACTATGGCCGCAGTACGATAATACGTTAAAATTATTGAGGGGATGATGAGGTGATGCAAATAATTTTATTGTCATTTTTAATTACCAGAACAATTTTCAATGATTATGATAAAGATGCATATGAATTTGTACTGTTTTATGAGCTAGTTCTGGTAATGTGTGTTTCAACATTACCAGAACAATTTGCAATGATTATGATAAGGATACATATGAATTTGTATTATTTTATGAGCTAGTTCTGGTAATGTGTGTTTCAACATTACCAGAACAATTTTCAATGATTATGATAAACATGCATATGAACAGCGTGTTTCAGTGCTAGCAGATAGTTAGTTTTGGAGGTGGAATTATATCGACTTGTATAGGAAAATGTATCCATCGCCAACGCAGTGCTTAGAAATGTAGACTTCGTCATCATCATAGATTATCCAATCATTCCCACGCCTAAAATTCACAACATAATGGCCTGAATTTAAGGAATCCCCAAATGACTAACTATAAGCGTCAAGGCGTAAGCATTATCTGAGCCGGGCAACATAAGAATATCCGATGCAAATGACTTTTCTAGAATTTTTGTGCCTCGATTTGTGAAAATTTTTAGATTAACGAACAAAGCCCGTGGTGCCAATACTAATTTGGAATTGAAATTTGCTAATCCTGCCGATTTGCATGTCTCACAGAGATATTCTTGTTCCCCGATGAAATGATTTATGATGCAATCCTGTAAATTCGTTGCTGTCCTTCCGATCGACAGAGAAGTACATGATTCGTTTCTCGTGCTTTTAATCCCACAAGAACACGTAACTTCGGTTACTAGCGTCGCAACATATTCTTCCAGAGACATCCCTGAGTTGCTTAAGTTCTGTAGTAGGTCAAGAAGAAATAGATGAGGGTCATCCTGCATTCCAATTGGATATGAAGGCATGCATGCAACTAACTCTTGCCTAGTAGTTCTTAGTTGACAAAGTGGAACTGGGGTGAGTAACGCGTGAAAGAAACCTCTTAGACAAAGAGATAGACGGTCTCGACTAACTTTCAGGAAGTCTTGGATGGATACAGACTCATATATTAAGTGAAGAATTGCGTTAATATAGCACGTGTTTCCTAAATTTGGAATACCGAGATGAATTGAAAGTGATTGCTCGCAAAGTACATTGTCTGCAGATAAATCTTCGTTATCTATTTGTACGTCCATTTCCGACTGTTCAGTATTGTGCCCTATACCACTTTCGCTCAAACTTACTTCCATTGGTTCTGCTTCTTGTGGACAACTTTCTGATTCCACATGTGATGGCAATATATGTATGTCATCTGGCCATGTCACACAAATTGGCTTATGGTAGCTGAAATAACTTTCATAGAAAAAAGCGGACACACCAAATACATTTGAAAAACATGCATCGATACATGTATTTCCGTCGGTACTATTTTCGGAGGGAGTTATTAATCTGAAGCCCATTTTGGTGAAAATTTGCCTCATTTGGAATCCATCTTTGGTCATGAAATTTAGATTAAAGTCACCAAAGACGATCATCGGGGTGCCTTTTTTGCCACTCAAAAGATCTGAGACGTCCTTTAAAAAAGCTGTCGCACGATACTGGGGACTACGGTATAACATACAAATCCTAACATTTTTCTGTGCCCATTGAACTATCTCGGCGGGAAGCATGTTCCACCCGATCCCGCTCTTTTTCCACTTCGCGGTAAGTCTCATTTTCTCGGCGGGAAGCATGTTCCACCCGATCCCGCTCTTTTTCCACTTCGCGGTAAGACTCATTTTCTCGGCGGGAAACATGTTCCACCCGATTCCGCTCTTTTTCCACTTCGCGATAAGACTCATTTTCTCGGCGGGAAGCATGTTCCACCCGATCCCGCTCTTTTTCCACTTCGCGGTAAGACTCATTTTCTCGGCGGGAAACATGTTCCACCCGATCCCGCTCTTTTTCCACTTCGCGGTAAGACTCATTTTCTCGGCGGGAAACATGTTCCACCCGATTCCGCTCTTTTTCCACTTCGCGATAAGTCTCATTTTCTCGGCGGGAAGCATGGCTTATCCTGTCCCGCTCTTTTTCTTCTTCTCGGTAGATGTCAATCTTCCTAAGTTCAGCGTGAGCTGCGGCGTCCCTTTCTTGCTCTTGTTGTCGCATATCTGCATCCATCCTGTGTAATTTCTTCGAGATAGAGTTTTTTTCTGGTTCAGAACGACGGAACTCTTCGTGTTTCCTTTTTCTCCGCATCCTTTCTTTCATACTTAGTTTTCGAGGCATGATTTACCCACTAACTAAGGGCAACACCAACTCAATAAACGTAGGTTACGTACCTGTCGATAAGCCACTTAGCGATTTGCAATGCTCTACTCGATAAGCTACTTCACCTTTCGCTCCACTTCTTGACAAATTTCTCCTCCTCCAGATAAGTCGCTCCACCCCTTCTCCTCCAGATAAATTTCTCCTCCTCTTGATAAGTCACTCCCCCTCTAACGACCCCGTCTTGATAGTTACTTCTCCGATTTGGAATTTGCGTAATATAGAGCGAGACGTTTCGATTATTCAGAATTAGAAAATTCAGACGCAGAATAAATATTGAAATCCAAGATTTGTTTTTCTCCTGTTTCTGTTTGTCTGGTCTAGCATACGTTAGCATAGTTACAAAACTTATAATGAAATGATGAAATTTATATTCATTTTATTTCATTTTATTTATTTCTTATTATTATTATTTTCTTCCATTCATTCATTATATCCTTCAAATTTTCTTATGCATCCAAATTAAATATGGTTATGCTTAAATTACACTATCTATGTTTGACTGAAGATTATGTCAAACTTATGTCCCATTGAGTATTAAAGGGCGAGCTACTTCTGCCGTTACAACGGTTTATTATTATTATCGGTAACACAAATTGTGTTACCGATTGTTAGATATCAACTGTGCTATTTATTTACTAAAAAATTCGATTCGGTTTGTTCAATACCAATGGTGCGCCTAACATATTCTATAATTGTCAAGGGGATTTTTAATTAGCATCAATTGATGCAAAAAACTCGTTAACAGACGGACAGACAGACAGACGGACGGACATGAGGAATTCAATAGCTCTCGTGCTACGCAGGGCGAGCTAATAAGTCATGCAAATTTGGGATGCATAAATTTTGTTCTCTTCAATTTTATTGCAATTAATTAATTAATACCATAATTATTGAATACCCTGAGCTACCATCCTTATTGAATTATTTTTATTGTGTATTTCCACATATGGAACTAATAAACACTTCATTATTGCGAATTACGCTTCAAAAATAAATGAGATCAAAACAACACTATTAAACAATTTCAGTAAGAATTTTATTGAACTTTGAACCACCCTAACAGGTGTTTATGTTTAGTTATTAGATTTTTAAGCATGATTTTAAGAAGATCCGTGAGAAACATGTCTGTGCGTTGTAAATAAAGGGTGTTGATGTAATCCATCCCGATTGTTTTTTTTAACCCGACGAAGATTTACGAAAAATAACACAAAGTTAACAGAAATTAGTTAAGGGCATGATTATGGTTGAAGCATTAAAATTAAGCATTAAGCATAATTTTAAATATATCTTTAACTTATGCAGAAATGCTCTTAATTACACATATATAATTCATCGACCGTAGTATAAATTTCTAGAAGACTAATTATGGCACTTGGTCTCTAATAAAAGGTTTGTCTCGAAGTTTTGAACGTTTTTGAGGTACAAATTTTAAAATATTTAGAGAAGAAATCGGGACGAATTAAATCATCGCCCTTTAGAAACTGGATCAACCCAGACCAGACTTTGGTCGTAAACTGGTTATTTAATGCCGCAAATTTATAGGCTATCAACCTTTTTAACACCTTCCACGAATAAATTATACTTATGTCCACATGACTAAGCACTGTTGGTCGTAAACTCGGAATTTTTTCAAATTTAATTAACATGTCTTTATATACCTATGCAAAGCGTGAATTCAGGGGAAAGAAATAAAACCGCAATTACAACATGGTAAACATTCAATCGATTCATCTGGGATAAATTTTACGACCGCATCGTATTTACATATTCGAGGATAAAATGCTCACTCATTACGCATTCATAATGAAATTAACTTATTTAGCTAGCTCAATAAAGAAGTTATATAATTTTGTCATTGGTATTTTAAGGAAAGAATAATTCAATTATTATTTTATTTCCGTAGTCGTATGTACATAATTGCGTCAACGAAGTTTTATGTTCGGGGAATCATCCCCACATTTATTATGTATTTATTAATTGGGTTAACAAGAAGTAATCAGTACAGCGTCGCATAGCCCGAGCCATGAGATTATGAATATGACATTAAATTGTTAAGTTATTTAGTACATCTTGCTATTATGTAATTAACGTCAACTTTTCGTATATTTGCCAAATTAGTGCCAAAAAAGACGGACAGACAGACAGACAGACAGACAGACAGACAGAACAGATAAATGTTTTTGTAAGCCCTGCTTGGAGTGATAAAAAAACTATATATGTACTTAAATATTTCCTAATCATAATTAGAGTACCCAAACTTTTGGTGTACATAAACACGAAGAAAAGTTGTTTTTTACTTTATTAACAGAACTTTCGAGTCTGAACGTACCCTAATTTTCAAGATATTTCATAAAGATTTGAAATTCGAGGAAAGAAAATTGAAAATTATAGAAGTAATAAAATTTTGAGTTGTTATCTGAATTGTTGGAATCATTAGACAGGAGGATGTAGTGTCGTCACAGAGTCGTGGCGTAGGTCAACAATATACTCATTTGCATACAAATGCAAATATTGCGCAATAGCATTTCTAGTGACGACGTTCACAACTGCATATATAATGTGGTCACAGGGGGAAGACAAGTTATATTAACTTTGTCACCAGCTACTGCAGAGCTACATAAATAAAATCATATCATCATTATAAAGTCTTAATTTCGAAATATTTATCAGTCTCAACAAATTTGGGAACATTTTTATTTCTCGTAGAAAATCAGGTTAGTAAATTTTAATTTTAATTCAATAATAGAATAAAAATTAATAGAATTGTGAAATTATTGATTTTAAAAATTAGTAATCAGTTTATTATTTTCTTGAAATTTATTATAGAAGCCGAGCGATGTCAGAAATTTCTCTAAACTACCCAATATTCGCTGCCCTGGTGAATGGAATTTTAATCCTGTTCCTGTCTCTGAATTTCTTAAAGCTCTGGAAAAAAACGAAACGACAAGATCATGAACAAAAATTAAGGAAAAAATCAATTATAACCACTTCCATATCACCATGCCAACCACCATTCAATAAAACCTCACCCAAAAACGAGGATGTCGCATCGCTAACTCCATGGCAACCAGAAATCAATCACGAAAATATTTCCCCACCTAAGAACCAGCCAGATGAAATGGCCACATTCAAAAACGTCTCAAACGTGCTAATCTCAACGCTAAATCCTGCCCTAATCTCATCAAAGGATAAGGACGTCTTATACTCTCTCTACAAACAAATCCACTTTGGTAACTTCCCCTTCAAAAATCTACTTCAGCTTAAATCTTACCATCGCGGCACCCTGTATTGGATCCTTCTCCGAGGAATGTCGGCATCCCATTCTATTTCAAAATATATCGAACTTTACGAAAAACTGAAACGATCTGAAGCTCATCAACTAACCCTTCACAATTATAGGGCTGCTCGGACCACTGAGATGATCATACCCTCCGATAAAAAATGTGTCCCTGTCCTACATCCGGGCCACATTATGATCCCGATTAATCAAATTCCTTACGAATTACTGCTCAATTATAACAGCACTGTTAAAACCAAGTACATGTTGGCAGGCCGGGGTAAGCCGACTTACGATATGAAAGCCATTCAACCCCCGAAATTGATAAGCGATTCAGATTTTATTAAGAAATTTACGGAGACGCAATACTACAAAATGGTTACTTACTTGGATCAAGATAACCCAGATTTTGATCCTTATAGAAAATTATATGGCTTATCCAAGGATAAGTCCGACACGAAATATTTTATCGCGGATTTAACCGGAATCCGTGTACTAGCCTTGAAGCTAGAAGACAACGCGGTGCTATGTCCTTGCGTAGTTTTATTCAAAACCGGAAGTAGTAATACGAAACTTAGCTTAGTTTCTATCGCAATTGAAAATTTGTATGAAACTATATCCTGCGATGGGGTAGATCCCTTTAAAATAATGCCGCCATTTCCCCAGATATTAGACTCCCTTAAACTTCTCTATCCAGGAGATGGCGTTGCCTGGGAGGTCGCAAAGCTACACGCGACCCTTAATTCGAGCTATATTTCCAGCCTAGGACTCCACCCACTCCTACATTTTGTCCTGTCCGGTCCAATTTCTCTCACTTTTGACTCAATTTTGACCCAAAATAGTACCAAAAAATATTCAAATTTGCTAATCTCGCAAATAATTGGGGCACACTCCACCAGCCAAACGGGCGTTGATGCGAACGCCCTAAATTTTAAAGAATCCGTCCTTTGGGCGGAAAATTCGCTATATTACGCTTTTGGTGTCGGCACTAAAAATAATGGTGCGTATAATATGACGAAATTAATCTGCGATGGGTTAGAGGGTCACCCGATTTATGGGAAATTTAACAAAATTTCCTTCTTAAATGAACAGCGAGATAATCGTTTTCAGGATATCTTTACTCATCAGAAATTTATGAATGGTTTCTTAAAACCGGTGAAGACCTTTGTTCGTGGCGTGATTAATCTGATTCTGGGGGATGAAAAAGAGATAGAATTTTGTAACCTGTTTTTATCTGAATTGCAGAATAAGCTACCCCTGAAAAGTATTGTGAGGGGGGAAGTTGGCGAATATTTTGGCAACAAAAATGGCAATATCTATCACCTCGCCAATTTAATGGAGGGATTGTTAACTTATTTCATCTTTAACGCGGTTGAGCATTCAATCGAACATTTCCTTCTGGGGTCGCATTGGCTCAATGATGATCAAATACTGATCCGAATTCCGGTCGATTTTGGAAATAAATCCAATAATTGGCACGATATTTATGACGAGGTCTCCAAACTGAATGAAATTTCGGATAGATCCCGATTTTATTTGGCGTCAAAAATGTTCTTTCATCCCCACGTGAGTAAAACTTTTGTAGATTTATTGAGTAAAGAGGGGGGATATTTGGGTGGAGGTGGGAATCATAATTATGGGAATGTTTCCAAATTGTTGGGAATTTTGGAACAAGAATTATTAGACGGGATGATGCACGTGTTGAACGGGGAGGATAATTTGGCCGGAATTAGATTGACCGATGTCGCGATAAGTGTGCAAAGTTAGAAAGGAATTGATAAAAAATTGATGATAAGTAGTTACCAATTTTACATAAATGTAATATTAATTATGATAAATATGAATACTTATATTTAATATTTAATCATAACTGTTCAGAAATATTTCTTTGGTTATAATGAACAAAGTTTAAACTTTTCATCATTTATTCAAATTTTGAAAATAATAATTTATCAATTTGATCTAAAATTTGCATTATTTAATGAATTTCTCAAGGTACCCCATTTATACAGTGAAAACTTAATAAATAATAAACATAATTCTTGATTTACTCTTCATTACATAACTTATGGACATCCGCACATTTCCGATCCTGTGTTGATGTGCGTGTTTCATAATTCTTATGGATAATAAAAATTCCAAAATTTTTTCGCATATTGCTAAAAATTTCTAGGTTTTCCGACCTATTTAAAAATATTCCTTAGTTTATTAGAAAAAGTATGTAATTGGTGGGTCCATCTTTTAGATATTAAAAAAAATATAGACATTCCTTGCAAATATTTTAACGATAATTATACGATACGAGACGAAATTTTATTGCTTAAAGAATTTTGACTTTTAAAAAATCCATTATTAGCAATATCTGCATATATTCAGAAATACTAATTTCTCAAAAAATTTTATATTAATGTTTTTTTCGTGCATATTTCGTAAATATTTTTTATCTTAAATATGAAATATATTTTTCAGCATTTTTTCATAAATCCATATCCGCCCTTTGTTTATTGCATCGCAATTTCACCCCGACCCGAGCATCAAGCCTGTTGCGCGCTCGGACGGCCGTCACAGTCACCACGGAAGCAGTCGGCAGGATGCAGGATTTGCAAAATAAATTCGCAATTTTTTATTTATTTTCCCATCCTCCATAATTTCTCCAATTTTTACTCTCGTTGTTTTTAAAAAGGGTGAGTCAAACTTGAAAAAATGGATTTCCGCAAGAAACAAGTAAGGAAATATTTATTTATTTTTTCTTCACAGGGAAATTTCGAACAGCAGCAGCAGCAGCAGTAAATTCATCAGAAAAATTGTCAAGATGTCGAGAATGAACTTTTTCTTCTGGCTGTTCCTCCTCGGATCGGGAATGTGTCAAGAGAGCGGTACATATTTTACTTAATTATTACACCTAATTAATTAAATTTATCTTGTTTAACGTAGGACTAGATTACGAATCCGTACATTTTTAAGTATTTATCCGCTCTGGGAATTTATTTAAAAATTATGGACGACTAATTTGTACAAGATAACATCATTTTTTTACACTTCAGATCTTAACAGATTGGAAATTTTGACAAAAATTGCAAATTAAAAAGTCACAGCCATTCTATCAATACCTAATTCGCTACAGATTTGTCGTCCAGAAGGTTAAATTAAAATCTCAGAGAAGAAAAATGATCAAACCTTTGTTGACCTTGACGATAAGTTATCGATTCCGATGTGGAAATTCTTTATATAATTCTGAACAACGAATTTGTCCAGCGTATCGTTTCCAATTTCTTAAAATTAACTAAGTACTCACATTTTTGAAACACGTGATCTCAAATGTAAGAAAAATTGGTTAAAAACGTGTCCCCATTTTATCCGTCATCTTACCCAGTACAAATTTATCGTTCAGAATGTTAAAATCAATTCCCAGAGCGGAGCAATGATTAAAAATGCTGTAATTTTAATAATTATTCATCAACTCGGAACTTAATTCCAACTACAATTAAAGTTATAATTATTGCATAAATAAATATTGTTTTCTAGCTATTCCAGTCGAATCTCCAGTCGAATTTCCAGTCGAATCTCCTCCCTTCATCGTTCAACAGCCCTCCACGGAAGAAGTCCTCTTCTTTTCCGGTGAAGGGTTCGTCCTCCCCTGCGAGGCGACAGGGGAACCTACCCCCAGCTTTACATGGTTCAAGGACGGGGAAGAATTCGACCTGGGCCCGACCAATGACAGGATCTTCCTACAACCCGGAAGTGGAAGCTTGGTGGTAAATGACACCGAAAAGGAAGATGCGGGGCATTACCAGTGCTTTGCCAGTAACCAGGTTGGTTAAAAAAAATGGAGATTTCTATTTTTTACATGAATATTTCCGTTTTTCTAAAAAAAAAACTACAAATGGAACGTTATTTTTTTCAAGCTGCGCACGGATTGTGTTTAGCGAGTTATGTTAAAAAATCAAGCCTAAAATTAGGTTACGTTTGTAAACTGTACGAAATCTGGAGTTTAACGGTGACTTGAAAAATAGTAAAGTTTGCTCGGGATTTTGCATAGTTTATTTAATATGAAATTTAGATTGGTTATGATTTATGTAAACTATTTTTAAGTGTGTATTGGAATACATGTTTTGAAGAAATTTAAAAAAATCAGTCAGATTAAATTGAAAAATTAGAAATATTTTCTTAAATCGCGAAAACAACGTGTTTTTTCCAGCGATGAAGAGCAAATTTCTTAGCAAAAACGGGTGTCTTTTAAGAAAGAATTTGAATGTGTAAACTTTATAATCAGTTAAATAATTATAATTTTATAGTTTGGAACTGCAACGAGTAATAGCGTGTTCGTGCGGGAGGCGGAGATGGAATCGTTTCCGGAGGTGGAGAAGGCGACCGTGGAGTACGCCAAGATCGGATCTCCCTTCAACCTTACCTGCAGTCCTCCTCATGGCTATCCGAAACCGGAAGTCTACTGGATTATCAAAGTTAGCATGTATTTCTTATCAAGAAAATACATACACAGTACAACCTTACCTAGCCCGAGTCAGGTTGTCATTAATAATTAAAGTGAGTACAAAACCACCACGACAGCTTTTTATTTTCGACAGCTTTTATTTTGCTAATTTTCAAATTTTATTCCTACATATTTTGCATATTCTACTAAAATATGCAAAAAAAAGTATCGGAATTTCCGAACTGTGTCTTTTAGGCGGAAGGCATTCGAAAGTTTCCATAAACTTTCAAAAATTCCTCGAAAACATTCCAAAATTCGTAGGGGTTTGGAGAAAAATAATTTTGAGTCGGGAAAAGTTTGGAAGATGCATGTGCAAAATTTCAAGTCGACTAGATAAGTTTAATGGATAGACAGACAGCCAGACAATTATGATGACGGGTAGATAAGCTCTGACTCGGGCTAAAAAATAATGAACCCCTGGATATGAGTTGGAACTTTCATTTATTTGTATTTTTTTCAGAATACCTACTACCGACCAGCCACCCTGAAGAACATAACTGACCCAAGAATCACTACGGATCCGGAGAACGGGACGCTGTTCTTCTCGACCATCACGGAAGAAGATAAAAGTAAAGATTCGTTCTACTACTGTAAGTTAAATAAAATGATTTGTTTATGTACAAGGTTTTTTTTAGTTGAGATTTGAAAATTTGAAAATTCATCACACTTTTACAGGCGCCTCGTACTCGGCAGTAAGGTCAGTGCCGTCTTATACTGGAGGTCTCCCAACGATTTTGAGCAAATTAATGTTAATCAAGCACAAATTTAATTGGTGTGCAATTTGTAAAAGATAAGATCTCCCGATGCTCAGGTCCGGCAGAGATAAATATTTGCATTCAACAGTCTAGTAAAATATAACAAACTTCCCCCATCGGAAAAATTATTTTCGCCCAAACCCCCATAAATTTTTTGAGATTCCCGGGCATTTTCGAATGTTTCCGTAAACTTTCAAATGCCTTCCAAAGAGACTTTCTGATTTATTTATGTACCAACTTTCTTCCCTCGAACCTAGTTCGGAAATTGTGGAAGTTTTTACCAAACTGAATTTTCAGAGACGAGATAAAATTTTGCACTTTCCAAATTTACGAAGCGTTTTTCTCTCTTTGGATGCAAATATCTCGGCCAAACGTGTCCATATTGAGAGATCATAGTAATTAAAGTTATGATAGGTTAACTCTAATTTGCTCAAAATCATAGATCCTACACTGGGAGACCACCATTTTTAGTAAATTACTTAGAATTAGTTTAAATATTTGCGACAATGTCTCATTTTGTGTGAATTCTCGCTTGCCAAATATTTTGCGAAGTATTCATATTTTGTAAATATTTCAACGATTGTTTTACTCAAAGAAATCCGACTACAAACAATCCAGAACATTATACATGCATCCATTTAAAACCATAGAAATTTTCGGAAAATTCGTATTTTCTTCGTATCCATTTTCGCATTGTTTGCTAAATATTAAATACACATTTCCACGATTTAGGAATTAAATGCTTATCCATTAATATTTTCTGATTCTAGTGATAAGTTCACAATTGGCAATCCGGTCTATTTGGGGGTCTACCCCTTCCTCATCGACCCGGCCACAGTTTATGATAGGTCTCCCGATTTCCTGTATGTCACCAAGCCACACGTGGTCGCTCTCAAGGGAGGATCCGCATCCCTGTGGTGCATTCCAAGCGGAACGTAAGAAAATTTCACTCCTAAAAATATTGTTACCCTTTTTTGAAAAGTGATATCAGTCTAAATTAACCTCTCTGTGACCACAATTCTTTTTAAGAAATCCCTTGAGTACGATGTGGATTTTATAATTAACTTAATTTGTAGTAGTCAATTAAATTTGTGTTTTTTTTATAAAAGACCAATACTAATTTCAACGAGTTTCCAGGTTTTGAGTTATTTTTTTTTTATAAAAATTACCAAAAAATCTTGTTAACAATAGAAAATTCCAAAAAAATTTGGAGATAAATATCAAAAAGGGTACCTACCATAAAATTTTCCGAAATACACTACGGAAATGCTTGTATTTTGTGAAATTTAGAAAAATCTTAACGTATTTATTTGGTCTCTTATGGACTTGTTTTGAAATACATTATATTACGAATTTTGGTCGCAATGAGGTTAAGCAAATTATACAAAATCCAGAGTAACGTTATCTCGATAAAGAGCCAAGTTTACACTGGATTTAGAATACTTTACTGAATTTAGAATTTAGAATGCATTCGTTTTTCAAAAACCTACAAGTATTTTTAAGTTTACTCGCTCATACATAAAACATGGGTGGGTGGTAATAAAATAAGGGAAAGTTTCGAATTGACAGAATTACATTGAAAAAAAATCGTTTTTTTTCAAAACTTTCCGGTCTAATCCAAAATTTTTTCTGATTACGATTTGTAAATATTTCTCTGTAGGCCGTTGCCGAAGGTCAGCTGGATAAAAAAAGGTTCCCCTCTTCCTCCTGGTATTGAATACCTTAACTATGGGAAGACCCTTAAGATTAATAATGTGGATTTCTCTGGTACATACATACATAAATTTAAGCACTTTAAGACCCCGATTTACTTACACATAAATTAGTAATTAATTAATTGTGCTATTTTTCCTTTCTTTCATGACCTCCTCACCACATCGGAAAACTTGAAGACGAAGGTAGTTATAGTTGCGTATGGAAATATATAAATATTTATTTGAACAAAAACATGCACTGTTAATAATGTGGAGGGAAATTGTCACCCGCGGAGGTACTGTTTGTAGTACCCCAAAATGATTTCGGAAACGTTTTGTTACCAATAGAAAATAAGCCAAAAAATCATGCACGAAAGACACGTGGCGTCGCTATTTGTTTAAATTTAGAATTTTATTGTCTGAGGTTTATTGGTGCATGAAAGTAATTTTTGAAATTTGTTGGGTTCAGGTTGAGTTTTTGACTTATTTTCGTATTAGTGATAAAACGTATTTTTAACCATTCCACAAAAAATTTATGTACCTCCGCGGGAGACAATTTGTCACCAACTTATTTAGAGTGTGGTTTCCATAATTGTCTCATTTTTTAGACCGCTGTTAACGGAATTGGGTTTCCAATCACCTACGCGATAAGGTTGACCGTTCATGGTAGGTTACATACATAAATATGTAGATACACTCTTAGAAATCTAGTATATTCAGGCAGATATTAATTTCTCGGTATTAAACGTACTACCACTTGGTATTAACGTTATTTATACCGGTTGCTCCAGATTTGGTAAAACTTTAATACCGAGCTATTAAATTCTACAGCGTTTTCCTTGTCAATCATCCCACTTTGACAGTAATGAATACCGTTTTGTATTAATTTAATACAAGATTTCTAAGCGTGTGCTCGACAAATATATTGTTTATTTATGTGTTAAGAGCTTGTATGTTTTTTTTCGTAGCCATGCCGTATTTTACCGTCGAGCCCAAAGTTCAAACTATTAAAGAAGGTATTTCCAAAATATTTTTCAAAAATACGGTCATAGCTTTTAATTTTTGCAATATTGATAGTATTCATTAATGTTCGCGTCGCAAAAAAATATTAACCGTGGGGATGCGCAACTTCAAATTTTTTTAGCAAACCAATTTTTTTCGAATTTGCAAACTTTGTTTTTTTACTAACTATGTAAACTCGTAATGAATATGCACTAATTAATTATCTCCTTAATTGCAGGTGGCACGGCCGCCTTCTGGTGTGAGGCTGGAGGTCTACCCGTCCCAGAGATCACCTGGATTCATAACGGGAAGGACCTCGCCAATGCGGAAGCCAACCCAAAGAGGCACAATATCGGAAATATGTTGGTAATCGAGAACGCCACCTTGTCCGATACCGGTGAGTAAATTATGAGCGTACTCATCTTATTGTAACTCAGGTAGTAAACTTGCTAAAATCGAAGAGGGTGGGATTCGCAAAATTTGATTTCGCAAATCTCACAAACCTTCTAAAAATACGTATTTTGATATTTTTCCCATGGATTTCTGTAATTTCTTTTGATAAGGATGAGTTTTCGAAATAATATCGTGAAATTCTAACATGTCCATCAAATTTGTGAAAAAAAATCCTACCGTTTTCCAGCAAAAGTTTTGCGAAATCTCGCAAATTTCACAAAACTTGACAAGTTAATTTGCTATGTTCAATTTATTTACGAGATATGCGAAGGTTGACGTGAGCAAGCTTTATATAAAAATATACCTAATTTTTAAAAAATTATGAGAAGCTTGGAAAAGAAATTTTTAAGAAATATTTCTTTATTGAGAAATACATACCATGTAATTATTTATTTACAGCGAACTATGGCTGTAATGCGTCCAATCCTGTCGGATACGTATACAAGGACGTGTACGTCAACGTCATTGGTGATCGAGTTCCAGAAATCGTGCCCGATTCTGGAAATGATTTCGACGCCCCGGCCGAAATTGTGCCCGAATCCGGGAATGATTTCCTCGCCCCGGAAGATCCGACCGAATCTACGGCCTGGGTCACGTGGCTAGCTAGTGTGACGGGCTCTGTCGCGGTTCTCCTTGTCATCGCGATTTCGTAAGTTTTCGTAAGTTTTCGTCACATTTCGTGACGGGAAAAATCAAACAAAATCATGTAAATATTTGTGTACGCCTTTAAAAATAATGTTATCATTTAAAAAAAGTGAACCCCCTCTAAATAAACTGTCCTAAACCCAGAGTAACTTTGACTTGATAAAGAGTAAAGTTTACTTTGGATTTTGTAATTTAGAATTCAGAGCGCATTTACTTTTCAAAAAAGGGAACATTATTTTTAAGAGTGTACACACATTTATGTACATAATTTCTAAATTTTATCATTATTTAAATAGTGTATTCATCGTTAGACGACGACAAGGAGGGAACAATGACGCCGATGACGCAGTCAGTCAGACGGATGCGCCCCTCGCCCCGTAATTAAGCCCTGCATGTTTGAGGAAGCCGGTGCACACTATTTAAAATTGTTTACAAATTTGATGTGATTTTTTAAAAAGTTAGGTTAGTTGATACCTTTTAAAAAATATTTCTTCATTCAAAACTAATTCAAGAATTATTTGACTAATTATTATTTACATTATAAGAACATGTATTTATCCATTATTAATTTTGTATTCGTTTTATTTAGGTCAAATTCGCCTTATTAGATGGATTTCTTATTTTTCTAAATACTATTAAGCATATTTAGGGTGAAAAATGAGTAATGAATAAAATTATTCATTCACTTATTTTTCATGAATATGAAATGAACAAATATCAACTTTAATATTATAAGGAGATGACAAATGTATTTAAAAGATGTATTTATACGCTATTATTTTTGTATTTGCATAATTTCCTTGTTTTTCCCAAACTATTTTTGTACATATTTATAACTGACTAGGAATATATGACACATTTCTCTAATCATAAAATTCTGTTTAATTATATCGCATACATACAGTTGAATATCGCATTTACATACAATCGTTCCGTGGAAAAATACACACTTAAAAATCTGGCAAGGTCACATTCCTGGTATTGATTTAGTAATAACTTCCTACCGGATTGGTAGTAGTTTCTTTCTCAGTGGTAAATTTTTCCGTGCTACGACATCATTAAACGGTAGCGTCCCTTATGTAAGGCATGTACGTTCCCACGTTAGTAATGATTTTATACCAGTTTTCTAAGAGTGTGTGCATGTTATACAGATAATTGTACGCATTTATGCACCTTATCTCATAAACTAAAAAACATTTCTATTTACTTAATTGTAATTTAGTCATCCATTTAGTCGGCCATCATTATCTAGTGTAATTAACGCCCGATAAGGTAAATATACATCACATCCGGTCACACCGTGTGACTCACACGTTCCCAATTATTATTCAGTTGAATGTTTGATATGACGCTTATACACAAATATGTAAATATTACTTGGGAATCATTCATTTCTGGAATTGGAAATTAATAGTCAATCACACTTACATAGGATTATTAATTAATATTTAACCAGTTTAAAATGTGGGAAGGATTGGCAATCGTTTTTATTTATCTAATTCGACATATTTATTTATGAACATTGACACATATAAAAGGACGATTGATACGAGACACGTACAGTTGTTTATGGGTCCATCGTGATAAGATAATTTATTGATATTTAAATATTATAAATTTAAATCAAAATTTCAAAATTTCCAAAATTTAAAACTTAAATTACCATAATTCGTATCGAATCTCAACTAAATTATTGTATGCATATATAAACTTAAATACGTTCGAACAACTTTATAACTCCAAAGTATTTTAGAAACCTCCCTAAAAATTTGAAAATTCAGTTATTTAGTTTCGACCTTGAGAAGTTTAAGCGTAAGCGAAGCGATTCTAAAAATTCTGCCCTTGGCTCACACATATTTCTCAGGACCATGCGGTATGCCGGATTAAGTTAAGAAAAATATGAAAATTGTGTTTGTAACGGTTTCATAAATTAATTAATTGCAGAAATTTTATCCTCGTCACGGGAGCTTTATTGCTCTCCGCAGGATTTTCGAACAGTGCTGGGCCCAGCTTAGAAGAAATTGTTGAAAATGCTATTCATGTAAGTACTTACATAGTTATTAAGGGTATTCATGATCGTATCGTGAAACCAGTTTAATTATTAATTAATTATAAAATCACTAAAAATCACCAACTAATTGTCAATATTCTAATTAATTAGCTAATTATCTGACTTAACTAGCAATCTGAGTTTAATTACTAATTACCAATTAATTAGACAAAATATTTTCCTTCTAGTTATCAATCACTAATTAATTAGAAAAATGGCAGATTAAAAAGCTCTGTTTCAGACATACGGGCTTTCCATGTTGAATAAACTCTATGTCTGTAGCGAATGCGTCAAAATATGCAAATAAGGTGACCAGCTATAAAATTCTACGAATGTTACGATAATTCCGAGATTTTCCAAGCGTCGTAAGATTTTGTGATAGAAAATCGAGCTTCTAACTTATTTAGAAGTCCTAAGCATTAAGAGCGTAGGATTGTGCTAAACTTGGCTTGTTTATTTTTCTTCGGAAACTATTCTATGTACGATACGAAGACAAAATTGTGTTTCCCAAAATGAGGGTAACAATTTTTCAGCGTAAGGTTTGCTGATTTTTTTAAAGCTTACACATTTTTGAATTATTTTACAATGAAATGGTTGCACACCTAAATTAGAATAATCCAATCAAAACGTGTTAAATATGTATAACATGGAATCAATTGTAATCTATTTTTTAAGCTACTTTTTCGCCATTTGCGTAGGGGCCCCTAAAATATTTATGTATAGTTGTGCCACTGCGCTTATTGATTTACCTATTTTAACATTTTTAAATGATCCAAACTACTGTTACATTTTTAGGAAGCTGAAGATACCATGGAGAAGCACAGGTTAGCCACTCTTCTTCGAACCCAAGGCGACCCACCGAGTCACACTTACGTCAAATTCAACGAATTGACTGAATTCCTTGGGGAACAGAGCAACCTTAATTTGGAAACTTATGCAAACCTGTTACGGTATGAGTCAGAATTTTTAGTTGTGCGTCCATACACTCTTAAAAAGTCCTGTACGTATTGATTTAACGGTGTTAAATTTGTTCTCGCATGGTGATAAAATTAAATCGGTCCGTGAAAATTTGATACCGATATTCTTTGCCTTAAATACCAAGCTAACAATTGGGATGCAAATCATGTTCAACCCAGATTATTTTTTAACTATGTAAGTTTGATATAGTAACCCTTTAGAAACTACGTTTAGCAAGGGATTTATGTACGCAAATGCGAAAAATTTGGCAACTTTTGGGCGCCCCAAGTTCACGAAGATGCTCGGTTTTCCCGCAGATTCTGCGCTTTGTGGCAAAAGTTTCGCGCGTTTCACGAACTGTGGCGCCAAAAACTTGTTGAATTGTTCATATAGATGCGCAAGTGCCGCGCTGAACGTGGTTACTAAAGGGTTACAATTTCAAACTATGTAACATGGTCAAAAAATTTTCTGGTATGAACATGGTTTGCGTCCCAATTGTAAATATTAAATACATACTGCACAATCTTACTTATCAATGCCAATTTGGCAGAGTCATATATGTATGAATACCGCTTGGTATTATTTTAATACTGGATTTCTAAGAGTGCACCTCTCATACTAAATATGTGGTATAAATATTTATCCGGAATTAATTTCCTTTTCAGGCAAGGAGTTGATCCAGCTCTCGCCTTAAACATAGTGAGGAACCAACGCCCAGATTTCTGCACGGCGAAACTGCAGGATTGTAACCCCCTCTACAAATACAGAATGGTCAACGGCACCTGCAACAACTTAGACAATCCGATGTGGGGAGCATCATATACGGCGATGACTAGACTGCTAGCTCCCGTGTATACAGATGGTGTGTTTTTTTCTAGAAATTTAAAAATTTAAAACATTCCTCAAAATTTCCATTTTTGTCGTGAACAAGCGCAAGCGTACTTATTGCGATCGATTTGTCCGTCTGTCAGCACGATCAATCTCAAAAGAATCAAGTTTTTTTTAGTTCTGCATTACAATATCATCAGGCATCTACAAATTTGTAATAGTAAAAGGGAGTTCGTTAAATAACCTTGTAGGTCAAAGGTCACGCGGCCTCAGTGATCATGTCAAATGTCAAAAGTATCAAACTTTTTGCTCTGACACGATCTTAAACGTATACACTTCAGCGATTAAAGGATTTAACAAATAATTAGAAATTGCATCGACCTGGTGACCGCATAAACGAGGTTAAAAGTCATAAAGTGTCGAAACGTCACATTTTCTCAGGAACTGCATTCTGTTTTCGCAAGTTTGTTATATCTGTTGAATTATAAATTTGTTAAATTGTTTAAAATTTCCCTCATTCAATTCAGGCTATAACGCGCAACGGGGTGGGGATGGCGTTCAAGTTCCGTTTTCCCTGCCAAACGCCCGCCTAATTAGCTCAACCATACATACGGATTTGATCCAACCGGATCCCCGAATTACCAACATGCTACCGCAGTTTGGACAATTTGTTGATCATGACCTTTCACTAGTGCCGGAAGGAGGTTGGTGCAAAAAAGCAGTGCAAATTTCATCTGTATCACTAAAAAAAACTTCTTAAATAGATAAGCGTTGCTGCAAGGAAGTCTCACACCTGGACTGCTGGCCTATCCCAATTTATGCAAATGACTCATTCTTCTCTAACTTAGAGGAGCCCGAGAGATGCATGGATTTTACGAGATCAACAGCCTTCTGTTTTCCGAGTAATAATTTCACAAATTTAAGTGTTACATACATTACCCCGGTGTTAACCTTTTGGCTCTTCACAAAGAGAATTGTCGTTTTATGTATAAGAAATAGTTTAATTCGGGAGGGAGACTATGCTTCGTATTTTGTAATTAGACCCCTTTCTGCATAAGCTACAAAGGCACATAAGGCCGTGATTTTAATGGATATTTAGTCCATAAAGTTCTGTCCTCATTTTGAGGAATTTCTCCTACGCCAAGGAAATGCTAACTTTGAACATTTTCTTCTCAAAAATTTGAACATTTTCCAAAACAGAGTATTCTCACATTTTTGATATAAACTTGTGAATCTTTCATGTCTTTTTCAATTTTTTGTATTTAGTTAATCATAAATACTACTTATTACATACTTAATTTAAATAATGCTCCCAAAATTTTAGCCGATACCGGTGTTCGGGAACAGCTCAATTCCTTAACCTCGTACCTCGACGGGTCCAACATTTATGGTTCGGAAGAGACTCGACATGGCTTTCTTCGAGCCTACGTTAACGGTAAGATATTAGGATTAATCTAAACTAGAATTTTTAATATCAATTGAAATCGATGCCATATTTTAAGGAAAACTCCGATCAAATTCCGATAATCCGAATTTTCCTCCAACGAATAGCGAAATTGAAGACGAGTTTGGAGAAAGGCCCATCCCAATGGGGACCTTCGTCGCGGGAGATGACAGAGTCAACGAAATGCCCGGATTGCTCACCATGCACATTTGTAAGTTATTTAACAGTTACCTAGGTGCACTCTTAAAAATAATGTTACCGCTTAGAACAGTAAATGCACTCAATTCTGTATCAATTAAAGTAAAGTATTCTAAATCCACATTAACGTAAACTTAATACAGAGTGATCTTAACTCTGGATTTAGTGTATTTTACTTAAATTCGTATTCAGAGCGCATCTATGTACATTTCAAAGTGACAACATTATTTTTAAGAGTGTAACTTAAATCATCTTAACAAATGACAAACTGGGGAATGTGCAAAAAGCATGTAATCTGTGATTCATTTGAGTGTGGTGAAGGGAAAAGTATCTTATCCTTCGCATGTTAATTATATCTAACATGGGGTACCTAAATAGGTAACATCGGGGGGGGGGGGTAGGGGTCAAAATTTTATATGTATTTGCCCTTAATTAACCTTAATTATCGCCCTAACTTTTTATAAATTGTTTCACAGTATGGTTCCGAGAACATAACCGAATCGCGGACGAAATTCTGGCTCAAATGCCGCATTGGGATGATGAAAAAGTATTTCAGGAAGCGCGTCGACTCGTAATTGCGGAGTGGCAGAACGTCGTGTATGGCGAGTATCTTCCTGTCCTTCTCGGTGCCGACACGATGAATAGGTTCGGCCTCACGTTGACCGATTCCTGGTCCAGATACGAGGCCAATGTAGATGCCACAATTTTCCACGCGTTTGCAGATGCGGCGTACAGGTATGATATGAGTCTATCAGAAATGTGGGAATATTGACAAAATTAAGAGTTTTGATGTCCGAGCAAAAATCATCGTGCCGAATTCTGCAAAGCATGAAGTAAATCACGCTCTGTAAAAATTTTGTTACATTATTTTAAAGGACATTTTATCTGATTTTATTCTGCGGAAGAGTGCGAGCCTAATTATGTAGGTTTCTTCAGAAATCGCTCGACATAACGTTTTTGTGGAGAAAATTGAACCAAATTTTTCAGAATATTGGGAAAGTTTCATACATAAACCTTTTACGCAAGAAATTTTTGCAGAAATCGCGCTAAATCTCGAGAAAATTGGGCCAAATTTTTGTAGAGAATTTGGTCAAACTTCTGCTCGACATGCTGTTAAACTTTTTACTCGGGCTTGAAATATTCCATCTATTTTGACAATGACTCATTGTCAATGAGTACGACCAGGGGATACGTTCGCCAAAATAATTCATGCCACGTATTTTCTGAAATATTAAACTAATTTTTGAACGAAAATGAATTTCAGATTTGGTCACACCTTCATCAACGGGATAATTCAAACCTTCCGCGGCCTTGGAGACGGCCATGGATCGTACCGGATCCGACACAACTTCTTTGTCGATACGCAAGTCGTGCAGGACGGTGGGAAAGGGTACAACTATATTTTGAATGGGCTTTTAATTCAAAATGCTCAAACCGGTGATCCCTTCGTTACCGAGGATTTGACAAATCACCTCCTTCAAGAGCCAAGCCATGCATTCGGATCGGATTTAATTGCACGAAATTTACAGCGTGGGAGAGACCATGGGCTTCCGGCTTATATGGAATTCAGAAAAATTTGCGGGTTAGATACGATCGACACGTGGACTGTAAAACCGGACCAAATTAGTGAAGAAACTTGGGCGAAGTTTGAATCTTTGTTTGAAAATCCGGACCAAATTGACCTTTTTACGGGGGGAATTGTCGAAATTCCGGAGGGAGATGCGTTAACCGGACCAACTTTTAACTGTTTGAAGGTGAGGAACAGAGTTTCGTTTTAGGCCGGTTTTCTACATTTCTTGAACGAAAAGTAGGAAATGCAGGGTGCAAGAAATTGGGAGATAGTGCAAGAAATGTGCGCCCTTTAGCGACACCACGTATGAAAAATCGTATTTCTTGCAGGTCAAAATTGCTGAAACCACTTTTTCGCAGTTAGTTCTTGTTTCTTTCCTATTCAAGTGCTTGAATAGGAAAATTTTTCAAAATTTCTTAGTGGAAATGTTTTTTTAAGTGCAAAATTTTTAAATATTTGTAACTTTATGTTCAAACAGGCAATGCAATTTAAACTCCTTAAAGATGGTGACCGATTTTTCTTCACGCATGGAAACGGTGGTCCCGGGGCTTTCTGGGAGTATCAAATTCAACACTTGAGAAAACGCACGTTTGGAGATATTATTTGCGAAAATAGTGGAATCGCACAAACCCAACAGAACGTTTTCCTAACTGGAATTGGGCCGTAAGTTGGAAATATTTCAAATTCTCTTACACTTGTCGCTTTTTAAATCTAATTACACGGTTTGGTTTATTATTATGCTTCCAGAAATATGTGGGTGTCCTGCAATTCTTCGGAAAGAGCTCGACTGGATGTTACACTATTTATTAATTAACTGGTGGAATTTGCATAATTTAAAGAAATATGTACCTTAAATATTTATGACTATTAAATAAATTCGAAGAAACAAATGCTGCTGGGTTATTTACATATTTCGTTCGAAACATTTATATTATTAAATTCGTCGTAAAGGGGCTACAAAATCATTTTAGTATAGTCATAAACTTTTCGATATTTCAGAACCTTTTACTTCATACATATGTATGGGCATTACTGCCAGTTTTCAGTTTTCGCTAAGAAATATTTCCTCGGACAAAAATATAATGAACCAAAATTGCATGTTTCCAAATTGCAATAATTTTAGTAAATATTTAAATATGTATATTAAAATTAGGTATGCATCATAATCTCAAAGTTTTAGTAGCCTTGGTCCGATCTAACTTCAACCAGCAAGAATCAGCTTACTTATGGAATAGAATTATATTCGCAACGAAAACATTCACTTCATATAGTCTCAAAGTTCCCAAAATTTTACAGCATATAATTAGTAACATTAACAGCCATATTTTGAGCAGTTCCAAGCATTTTACGTGAATCAGGTTATAATTGGGGGCATTAAGTACATATTTAGCTAATCGAGAACTTGCCAGAAAAAGGCAAGTTGATGTATTCTGCACCATTGGAATACAGTCGCAAATAATGTGCTTTCAAATGCAAAATGAGAAGCTTTTTTTTAGGATTTCGTTCTGCACAAAGTTTAGTAACTCGTAGAAGCATTAAATATTTATTTCGAACGAGATGGTTCGAAATCCTTGTGGTTTAATTCACGCAATCATTTAATTGACGGAAAATTAAGCTCTGTTTGTCATGTATTTAGTTGCAAATGCGCAGTTTGAGACAGTTGCAAAATTACGTGTAATAACGTCTTGATAAATTAAACAATTCAAACTCATGAAATTCGAAGTTTTAGTTGGGCGTTCAAAAAGGAGAATATGCCATTATGTGATTATCCACATCCTAAATAATCGGGCTTTTCTGCAAGGAGTTAAAGTTGCTCACCATAATTCGAACATGTTCCCTGTTATTTAGCCACTACTTAATTTGTTCCTGTCACAAAACAACGTTTAAAGCTTATCAAGATGGCTAGTATCTTAGCTAACGCTTAATAAACTCTTGGAGAAATTATTGACACGTCCAAGAAACTCCGCAGTAATCTACTCTCGCAGTTTAATAATTTCATATCAGGAACTCAGCTTGTCATAAATTCGTTAATTTATGGCAGTAAAAAACTTTAGTGAATTGTCCTGCCAGGACATTGGCTGAACAATTACTGAATTGACAACTTATTTATTGGACGAGTTAATATACATAACTCTTCTCATTGGATATTTATATTTTAGAACTTATTTACATACATAGTGCAGTCTAACTGACAATGGAGGTCTCCCAACGTATGCTCACAGATTTGAACGAAATTAGTGTCAATCGATCACAAATATAATTAGTATGAAATTTGCAAATGGAACTATCTGCCAATGCGCAGGTTTGGCGGAGATATTTGCATAGAAATCGGAGAAAACGCACCAAAAGGCAGGCATATTTTTCATTTTCCAAATTTCCTGCGCATTTTTTTCTGCTTTGAATGCACATATCTCCGCCAAACCTGCGCATTGGCAGATAGTTCCATTTGCAAATTTCATACTAATTATACTTGTGATCGATTGACACTAATTTCGTCCAAATCTGTGAGCATACGTTGGGAGACCTCCATTGTGAGTTATTTTAAATACTATATGTTAAACAAAAGAATTAAATATTTATTCATATTTATCCTTGCATTATTGCTTGAATCTACACCTAACAAAACTGATTACAAAGAATTTTCATGCAACGGTGCAAACAAAATGTTGTTCCCACGTTGTAGAGATCTGCTTCTCCTAATGTTGCTCACAACCACGTTTAGCCTCATTAGCCCGATAGTAGTACAAACCGAGAGGAAATATCAAGTAGAAACTCATGATAAGGCTGCCGAGTACCTTCACCCTTTTGAAAACTGCACAACAATGATTTTCACTTCAAAAAATGCCTCCTGGAGCTCCCTCACTAACCCCACGCTTGGACCAATTGTCCTACTTAATTACGAGGGGCATAGCTCGGGGGGGGAGTACCCCAAATCTATCACAAATTTATTCCCCATCGGCGACGCAATCCAGTTCAACATTGCTGGGCAACGTTTGCGATTCTACCAGAAAAAATTGAATACTTCGCAGGAGATCAATATTTCATGGTCCTACCTGGCTTCATTGAGTCGAGTTGGGCGTTCCAGTATTTCGTATGGGTTACAACAATTAAAAACGAAATTAAAAAATACATGACCAACTATGTCGTTTTGTACAATCTTGGCTTACGAGAAGTTTTAATTGTGGATTTAAATAATTTAATGGAGGAGAGTGCACTGCTATCAATGGACTATTATAATATGTACCACATTAAGACACCCCCGCTCGAAGTTGACCGCTCTGATGCTTGGTACACTATAATTTGTTCAGCATTCAATTGTTTAGATAAGTTTAGCGTAATAAGCAAAAATGTGTCCAAATTAAACAAATATTTTTGGTCGAATCGGAGATTTATCAAAAGTATTGGTTACAGTTCTGGTCATATTTATCCTTCCCATCGTATGTATCGTAGAATAGCGAATGAAAACACCCTAAATGGTTTCATAGAATTTCTGATTTTGCAAGACGTTTTGATACCCAAGTCAGCGAGTTTGACGCCATTACATTTAATTCCATCGATAAGGCACCTCGGTCAACGGATACATCAAAACAGAATGTTTTCGTTTATTCCCTACGGGTTCAAACCTACAGCTTTGTAGGGTTGCCGCGGGTAGCGAAAATGCTACCCGTTACCCGACCCGCTACCCGCAGCACAACTACCCGTACCCGCACGGGTACCCGTGCGGGTACCAGTTACCCGCTACGCGTAATGAAAATTGATTTAAAACCTAACCAGCCTTAAGAATAAATTTCATTTAATTAATTGGCTCATTTGGGTTGATATGTAATTTCAGATAATGCTACGCAAGTAACGAATGCCGTTAATTGCTATGGGAATATCCGCAGTTGTTCTGAAACCAAACTTTTTGACTTGCAATGGAACGTTTTTCAAACTACATCGGGATTTCTTAACGAATGATATCAAAAAATCAAGTTAAAAATTAGGAATTATCACTAATCTTTCCCTTGAATAGCCCGTAGGAAACTATTTGGATCAGAGTTCAAAGTCCACCATGATTTTCGTCCAGTGGAGGAATAAGATGCTGAACATTTACTTAAAAATCGAACTTTGCCTCCAATATTTTTCTTTAAAGTGGACATTCAACGGAAAGTATCATGTGATTCCTAATTTTTGGCTTGACTTTTTAATATACTCTCTAGATAATCTTGGTGTAGCTTGAAGAAAGGTTCAACTTTTAGTTTGATTTTTTTTGAAATTTTGATTTAAATTTAAGTTTTCATTTTAAAAATATCTACAAATAAAATTTTAGCCTTCAATCGGATTCAGGTTTTTCATCTTCAACGAACAAATTAAAATCTCGTCAGTCTTACACAAATAAATAAATACAAAATAAATACAAATAAATACATAAATAAATACAAGTCAAATTGTTACTCAGATTTTAGAGCAGGCAAATTTTACTTGAGAAACAATAATTTCATTTTAGGGACGTGAAAAGCATATCAGGCTGCCATAGGCTTCCGTGGCTTCCGAAAAGACACGCACGCTATAAACCCTAGTTGCTGGAAAATAGCAAATTTTGAAATAGATAAATAATAAATTGACGCTTTTGTTGGTAAATGGACTAACTTGCTGCTAGCTTTCTTTGTGAACTGATATATGTCGAGAATTAAATAAAAACAGAACTACCCGTTACCCGTGCGGGTAGTTCTCGCTACCCGCAGAAAACGGGTACCCGCAAGAATCGTGCGGGTATGCGGGTAACGGGTACCCGACCCGTTACCCGCGGCAACCCTACAGCTTTGTATAGTGTTACTACGTCAAATCAAGATTTGACATTGTATCAGCGCTAACTAGTCCGTTTGATAGCGAAAGCTGGAAATATCTTGCAACGAGCTTCTCAATAGTGCTTGTAATTTTGATTATAGTGCACAGAAAAGTTGATTCGGATGGTGTCTTTGCTCTGGTTGGAATTTTCCTAGAAAATTCAATCCTCTCATCTCGAACTATATACGAGGTTGAAATTCGACACAAAAAATATCAACTGACCGGACTGTACGAGATTCTTGCAGTCTGGATGCTTTTTGTAGGAACTGTGTTAACAAATGCGTACACAAGTTGTTTCACGATGGAAATGATAATCCCAATGAAATACCAATCTCCATGGAAGAGTGTGATGAGAGTAGAGGATATTCGAATTCTGATGCCGTTTTTCCTTCTGGGCGACCGTGAATCGATACCTCGTACTGATTATCAAGAATACTTCTCTTTCTACCTCGAACTTGTAATTCTATTTAACAAATTAACAAAACAAAATACGGAATACAAACGTTTCGTTAAGTACACGAAAGTGGCCAGAACTTTGTTGGAGACTCTGGTATATCATTTTGGCTTTAATGAGAATCCAGGACAACAGCTACAACAACAATTCAACAGGACAGGAAGGAGGGCATTTGATGGTTATTTGCCAAATGCTACACAGCCGCCCCCATATGATAAGTCTGCATTGCGAGATTTCCCTATTCAACCAGTAAAATATGATGAGCAAGACAGTTACGAAATTGTGAAAAGTTTGTCGAGTTGTAAAAAAGTTGCTTTGATAGACACGAAGGAAAGAATTGCCAAAATTACCGATTTTCTAAATGATAATGTAGAAAAGATAGCGTATATGAGTAGAGATGATGACTTTTTTACTTCGTCAATTGGTTGGATGATGATTCCCGTTAGAGAAAGTTATGGAGGGAAACGCTTAAGAGTTATGATATCTTCGGGGATTTTGGCGCATTGGGTATCTCAGTATAAGATTTGGAAACCTGATGAGTCACTGGACTATTACTCTAATTGGACGCACCCTAGGATCGAGGCAGTTTCGAAATTGGATTTCAGTTCT